TTTAAATGTAATTATGGGAAATGGTAGGTTTGAGAAAAAGTTATTATAGATGAGCATTAGAAGCTTTAATAATCTTTCAAATTACTAAGTATACATTAAAAAAGTAATTTAGTTCAGTATCTTTTCAAACCATACAAGAATGGATAAAACATGCAAGAGATTTCTCAAAACGTTCCATTTAAATATTTATTAAAGTCTATTTAGAAAAGGAGGGTAATTGTTGTTTTATATTTAGAATTATATCAGTTTTATAATTTGTTAAAAGAACAATGTCAAATATATGGAAATTAATGCAACTACTGGTTAAAAGCCTAATGAAACTTTTATTTAAACAACAATGAGAAATTTAGATATATAAGGAGCAATTGAAGTTAATATGATTAAACCTAATTTTTTAATATAGAAATAATATATTGTTTAAAATATCTATAATCAAAAATAAAATAAAATATGAATAAAATATGTAATTTGTTTAAATATTTTGAAATTTAACATTTAAAAAGTATAAGATTGTGATGTCTCTTCTTATATATAATTATATATATAATATATATATCATAACTGATATCCAACTCAGAGGTTTTCAACATTACCACCTTCATCTTCAAGTTCTGAGGTCCACAATGTTAAATTATCTCTGATGAGTTACATGATGGTTGTGGCATCCTTATATTAATCTTCTTAGATTTATTCAATATCTGCAATGGCATCATCAAAAGCCTAAAGATATAAATTAAATATAATTACTGATTTAGCTAATTAGCAAGCCTTGGCGGCATCATTTAAAACTTCATAATAGAAAACGGAGAAATTCAAAGCAAGTCCTAATCTAATTGGGTTTGTTGTCTTTAATTCAGAGTTAGCAACTTAAGAAGCAGCTTAATAGGCAGCAAGTGCACCATCAGCAGCTTTCTTATGTTGATCTCCTGTAGCATATTCAGAAATATATCTGTGATAATCTCCTTTCATCTTGTGGAAGAACACCTTGGCTTCTGGGGTTGAAGCTGTTTTGATTAAATGGCTATCGATCAAATTAAGAATATCATTGCAGTATTGATTAAGCTCTTCTTCAATCTTTTTCTTATAGCTTCTGATCAAAACAAGATTCTTTTATGATGCTGGTTAAGATTAAGCCTATGTAAAATTATTTATTTTTATACCTTTCCTTCTTCTTTGTTTTCAATACTTGATAAAACTCTCCAAGCTGTTCTTCTTCCACCAATGCTATTTTTATAAGCAACAGAGAGAAGATTTCTTTCCTCAACTGACAATTCTTAACCATTCTCTACAACTTATTTGATGTAATTGACCATATCTTCAAATCTCTCTGTTTATTCTGTCAACTTTGTCATGTAGATGAGTTCTTCTCTAGTGCTCATTTTGGATATTTAAAATTTAAATTTTTTAATTATTTCTAGAAATTAAGATGTCCCTTTTATATCATAATTCGAACTAAATCCTAAATAATTGTAAATAAAATATATATACTATTTTATTTCTTTACTACACTACAACAATTCCTACCATTTAAAATTTGATATTTTTATATTCATAGTCCTCATCTATATTATTTTTCAATTTTTCTATTCATATTCTTACTTATATATATATATTTTTAATTTTAGTCACATTTACAAACAAATACAAAACATTTGTAGCTAATTATGTTTAAGTTATCAATTTGACATATTTTGTAAATTTCTAAAAAATTTCAAACTTTATTTACAATGCTTATTGATGATTAATTTGATTATCTTATGATTTAAAATTCAAAAGTAATCTTTTTTTCAATATTACACATTCTATCTAAAGTTATTTACTTATTAATCTTATTAAATAATATTAATGATCTAACTTCATATATTATTAACTTAGAAAGTGAAAAATATAACTGTTTATTAAGATAATAAATTTATAAAATGGAATAATTTAATGGAAAAACATAGGTATATTATAAATCTATACTTAAGGATAATATTTTAATAACATAACCATTAACTAAATAGAAGTATTCAGCATTATTTCATGATGAGAGGTTTGGAAAAGATTTTGAGTCAAATTACTCAAAACTTTAAGAAATAATGGATGTAAATTAATTTTACAACATTAGAACTTGTAAGGAAAGGTTGAATAAATAGTAAAAAGTTAAGAAGATGATTTTATGAAAGCATATAAAGATCAAATGAATGAATTGCAAATAGATTTGAAGGCTATGAAAAGAAAAATTGATGAAGAGTCATTAAAATAAAAAGCTGATGAAAAAAAAAGAATCTTAGAAGAAGAAAGAGATTACTTTAGATAAGAAGCCCTTAGATTAGATAATTTAAACAAAGAATAGTTGAGAACAATTGAAGAATTAAAGTTCAAGTTAAAAATTACTATTGAAGAAAAAAATTATTATGAAGGTTTTGTTATAGGTACTTTTTAATAACTATGCATAAGATTCAAAAAAAGAAAATAAAGCATTAAAATTTGAACTCTTATAATTATATAAGTAAAAAATGGAAGATTAAAAAACATTAAATCGAATGCAATCACAGTCATAAACATAGTAAATTACTAAATTAAATTCTAAAAAACAGTCTGATAATAGACCACAAACATAAGAAGGAATCAGATCAGAAGGGAATTTATTCATCAAGGATGATTTTAATTCTGAATTTTTAAAGAGAGAATAATCTTCAAAAGCAGGATTAAGATCACAACTATCTACTAAAAATTATGATTAAGCATCAACCTAATTTGATTTTTTTAGGCGAGAAATTTCTACTCAATAATAAAGTAGATTTCATCCTGAAAATTAAATGGTATTTATAGTAAATACTTATAGATAGAAGAAAGAAATAACTAAATTTTAGAATTAAAGCAATTGTTATAAAAAGAAAAGATTTTGTGTCAATAATTAAAGTGTGAATTATAAAGGCAAAACTCTTAAAGGGGAGAACTTGAAGTTATTCTACTAGATTGTGTCAACTAGCTAAAAAAAGATATTGCTACAAGATAAACAGTTTAAAAATAAGCATTTTTGAGTAATAGTAACAAAACACCAAAAACTTCTGAATAAATTGCCTTTGAAGATATTGATTATAGATAGTTTACACATTAAGATAAAAAGTAATTATTTTTTGTTTATGAAAGAGTACTTCTCAAAAAATTTTTAAGCTCTGAATAATTTTTAGATCAAATATATTAACTTACTTTTAACAGTCAAATGGCAAGTACATCTCAATTGAAACTTAATGAAAAATGGAAATAAGATGCAAATGATGCTAATAAGAAATTCAATAATTTTAAGATATATAAATTTAGAAATATTACTAGCTAACGTAATTTATAAATTTAATTTAGCTATTATAAAGTAGGTGATATCAAAATAAGAGTAAAACATTTTAACAGAACTACAAGACAAAGTTGATTAAGGATAAGGATTAGTTGATCAGATTGTACAAACTTGATTCTTTTTATCAATGATTATCATTTTCAATTATAAAAATTCATTGATAAAAAAACTATTCATTTGATGTTTTATTTTAAAAATCACAAATCAAATAATTATTTAGTTTTTGCTAAAAATTATTAATTTTATAATTTAATGAATATAAAAGACTTTAGGTTTACTGCTTTCAAATATTCCACAAAACTTCGAAAAACTTTGTATAAATCATATAAAAATATTAATTGAACTTTGTTAACTATGTCTTACATTGAAGTTCTTTAATAAGATTTGAAAAAAATTTATTTCCCACTGATATATAAATTTTTTGTGATGAGAGGAGGGAAAAAATAAAAAATGGGCAAATTGTGATAATGAAAATCAGGAGTTTTTAAAATAAAGCTATGTAGATTTTTATTTTACTTTATGACGGGATTATAATCTTTTAATAAAATTTTTTTGTGAAATTTAGTTTATTATTGTATATCTTTATATTCTATATTAGGTAAAAATTAGTTATCCAACAAAATTTTTATCAGCCTCTTTGTCATCTTTTCCATAATTATTAAAATGTGTTTTGATTTATCTATATAATTAAATTTTCTTTTATTTCTTATTTCTTAATTTTTTATACAATATATCAATAAATTCATTCTTACATATTTTAAAATTAGTACAATAATTAATAAAAGATTATCTTGTAGTGTTAGTTTATAGTTCATTGTAATTTCTTAAAAAGACTAATTATAATTTTTAGGCTGCAATAATGTTTGTAGATTTCTTTAAAATTGAATTATCGTTGATAATCAGACCAGTCAATTTTGCTGCTCTTTTCCTTTACTTTTTCTTTTTTTATATTTATTTATTATTATTGTTTCTTCGATTATTAATCATTAGATTGATCAATTAGCTTCACTCTCTAAAGTTTTATGGGATTTAAATTATAATTAACATCGTTTAACTAATTTAAATATATTATTTGGATATTTTAGCTTTGGAATGTATTATGAAGTCTAATCACCATATGGCTGCTTTTGCCATTCGTATTATAAAAAAATAATATTTATATTTTAAGAATTATAAGGATGCAATTTATTATTATTATTAAAATCAACTGAAATGAGTGATTCTTAATGTTCTTTTGATGCATGCTGTGATAGAGGTTATGTCAGTTTAGGGGATTGTATTTGTGATTTTGGATTCTTTGGCGATCATTGTGAATAAAAAATTTCTGATATTTTCACTCCCTAATACTATATTTTCATTGGCTTATATTGTTTAGTGTTTTTATACACATTAATAAATGCAAGCTATTAACTTTATCATAAAATATTTGATAAAAGCTAAACTATTCAAGAGAAGTAATTGAGAAATTGAAATAGATCTTAAATATCCATTAAGCTATTAGTAAAATCTCCGATAAATATAATTTTAACGTTATCTTGTTTACTCAGTTTAGTAAAGTTGCTTTGGTTAATATTGGATCCACTTTAACTTTATGTAAATTTTATAGATATAAAAGAAAGGAAGAATAATTATCTTTGAACACATATTAAATGATATTTCTTATACTCTTTTATTCTATATATATGGATATTTACTAATCATTTGGTATTCTATGTATGCTGAAATAAGTTTTAATATATCAAATCACGTAAAATATTAACCTTTTCTTAGAACAACAATGAAAATAATTAAAAAAATAATACTACTAAATTGATTTGCAAACATTATAAAAAAGTAGTTAAGCTGAGATTATTTTTAGAATTTTTTATTTAATTAGTACTCAGTATATTTACAGGTAAACATTTAAATCAATATTAATAGGATTAAGACTCGAGATAGAGTATCCTTATTTTGCTATGCTATGTTATTCTTTTCTTCTCATTAATTTTTTTATATTTATTTTTGAATTTGCTATATATGGGAGAAAACTGTAAAGTTGTATACATAAGTAACTTAAATAATTTTACAGTTAAAAAAAAAAGAAAATAATGAGTTTGATGAGCATGAAAGAGGAATTATAAAAATAATTAGAACAAATTTAAGCTGATGGAGCAATACAGTAGAATAGTCAAATTAAAAAAGTTGAAAATTCTCCTCAAAAATCTTTAAGAAGACCAAGTGAAGATATACCCTAAGTTGTAGTACCTAGTCAAAAGGATAGATTAAGGAAAAAAAATGTTACTTTCTGCAAAAATAATTCAAGCATTATGTATTATAGATAAGAGAGTCAACAAAACATTAAAATAAAAAATGAGATTATAGAAGTCATAGCAGAATAAACAGAAAATTCTGAGAGAGGAACTAATGTTGTTTAAAATATCAATAATGAAAGTTGTTGTTTAGATGAGTAAATAAAAGAAATCGATTGGATTTACAATAAATAAGATTAAGAAATAATGTAAAATACAATTTAAATAAAACTGAAAATTGTAAGGGATACAAAAGAAAAGGTTCATAGTGATTAAGAGAATGTTATACCTCAAAAATTAAATAATAAAAAATAAATAGACTCAAGCAATTTAAGTGATCTAAGCTAAGATTAAACTTATTACACTTAAATAGGATAATAAATTGATGTTTATGAACAATAAAAATATTTAGAGGAACAATAATTATAATTAAAATCTAGTAGTTTAGAAGCTGATAAAAATATCCTTTCTTAAATAATGCTTTTAGTATCCTTAGGAATTATATATGAAGTAATGTTTGGAATCATGAGCATAATTGCTCTGATTAATGAAGCAATATATTCAACTCCTATTGGAACTATTGTTTATTTATATGTCTCTAATTCACTTTAATTCTTTTCATTATTGAATGTACTAAAATTATTTAAGGACTTCTATAATCAATAAATTAAAAATTTGATTTGGATTTCAAAAATTGGAAGCAAAAAGACAGACTTGAATTAAAATTATTCTTTCATAATACCATAAGAATATAAACAAGATGATGAAATGTTAAAAAAGTTTGAAAGCAGGATAAATTTGATCACTTTATATTGATAGTATTTTTATACATTTTTACTATTTTAATGTATAAATAAGAAGTTATTTCTAAAAAAATATTTTTATGACAATAATCTAGAAATTAAAAAAATCAATTTCGCTTAAAATTAGTGTCTTTAAATAAATCTGCCCTTACCAATTTGATTAATTTCTAAATAAAATTGATGAAAATACTTCTCTCAATTCTTATTCTGTAATATCATTTCTCTCATATTAATCAAAATATTATGTGAGGAAATCATCTTGAGCGATAATAAATTCTTTGAGTTGAATTTTTTCTTTTTCAGTAATGAACTTATTTTTAAANGTACCTAGTCAAAAGGATAGATTAAGGAAAAAAAATGTTACTTTCTGCAAAAATAATTCAAGCATTATGTATTATAGATAAGAGAGTCAACAAAACATTAAAATAAAAAATGAGATTATAGAAGTCATAGCAGAATAAACAGAAAATTCTGAGAGAGGAACTAATGTTGTTTAAAATATCAATAATGAAAGTTGTTGTTTAGATGAGTAAATAAAAGAAATCGATTGGATTTACAATAAATAAGATTAAGAAATAATGTAAAATACAATTTAAATAAAACTGAAAATTGTAAGGGATACAAAAGAAAAGGTTCATAGTGATTAAGAGAATGTTATACCTCAAAAATTAAATAATAAAAAATAAATAGACTCAAGCAATTTAAGTGATCTAAGCTAAGATTAAACTTATTACACTTAAATAGGATAATAAATTGATGTTTATGAACAATAAAAATATTTAGAGGAACAATAATTATAATTAAAATCTAGTAGTTTAGAAGCTGATAAAAATATCCTTTCTTAAATAATGCTTTTAGTATCCTTAGGAATTATATATGAAGTAATGTTTGGAATCATGAGCATAATTGCTCTGATTAATGAAGCAATATATTCAACTCCTATTGGAACTATTGTTTATTTATATGTCTCTAATTCACTTTAATTCTTTTCATTATTGAATGTACTAAAATTATTTAAGGACTTCTATAATCAATAAATTAAAAATTTGATTTGGATTTCAAAAATTGGAAGCAAAAAGACAGACTTGAATTAAAATTATTCTTTCATAATACCATAAGAATATAAACAAGATGATGAAATGTTAAAAAAGTTTGAAAGCAGGATAAATTTGATCACTTTATATTGATAGTATTTTTATACATTTTTACTATTTTAATGTATAAATAAGAAGTTATTTCTAAAAAAATATTTTTATGACAATAATCTAGAAATTAAAAAAATCAATTTCGCTTAAAATTAGTGTCTTTAAATAAATCTGCCCTTACCAATTTGATTAATTTCTAAATAAAATTGATGAAAATACTTCTCTCAATTCTTATTCTGTAATATCATTTCTCTCATATTAATCAAAATATTATGTGAGGAAATCATCTTGAGCGATAATAAATTCTTTGAGTTGAATTTTTTCTTTTTCAGTAATGAACTTATTTTTAAATAATTCAGTTGTAAAATATAGCTATTTGGCTGGCTGTCTTTATAATTATTCCATTAAATATAATTAATATTGATATAATAATTGTATTTTTCACTCATTGTGCTAATTAATACTCTCTTCTTCTTTTTGTTCTGTCTGTTAATTAGGTTAGTTTTGTATATGATCTTATTAGGATTAAGGCTTTTCTAAAAGATCTTTGTTTGATATTTCATTTTCTTATTATATTTCTATTTATTTATCTTATTCAATATTTTCTGATTGTACAAATTCTGTTTGAATTTAAACAGATTATTATTATTATTATTATTATTATTATTCATTTATAACTTCTTAATTTTAAGTTTAACTTCTATATTGCTCTATAGTTTAAACTAGAATATCCATTTTAGTATTAATATCTATATAAATTTTTGTTACTGTTTTATTTCTCCTAATAACAATATCTGGTTCAGGATTTTCAGTAGGAATTAAATTAGTCAATGCCTTTAAAAATTGTTAGGCCTAAAGTATATTAATTTAATCATACTTCATTTATATCTGAGTTTAGATTTTCCAAAGATTATTCATCTTCCCCGTCATCCTAATATGTTCGAAGCAATAATTTTTTGTATGCACCTTCTAAGAAATTCTAATTATAACTCTATCTTTTTCCCAATAAATCTTATTCTCTAAAATTTTATTATTATATTTACACTTTCCATTTATCCAATTAAAAATTTTCAATAATAAATGTTTTATGTATTAATCCATGATAATATAACAATTGAAGTAATATTGTAAGATACAAAGGCAATTTGTCTTCTTTTGTACTTTAAAATTCAATACTGAATTCTGGAGCATATAATAAGTTATCATTAATTTTCCTCATTTAATTAAAACTTAAAGGTAAAAATGCTGTTTAAACATATTGAATTACTTAGGTTTTCATATCCTTTCCTAATTCTTTAATATCAAAGGAACCATCAATTTAATGAGGATATTCAATTGTTTACTATTTGTTGAATAATGATAATAAAACAATCAATGGTCTATATATATTAATATCCATTTATTCTTGTTATACTGCTTCATCTACTTTCTCCCATTAAATAGATTAAATTATGGCTTCAATTAAATTTTAAATCTTAAAAAATAAAGTTCCCTTCAAAGTTTATAAACTCAAAACTGTGTAAATATTTTTGGCTAGATCTCTTGCTAACAATTACTCAAACATTTCTCTCTTAAACACAATAGGCCATGCTTTTTTCACTCTAATATATTTTTATCTATATTTACTATTCTTTAAACCATCCACAAACTTCTCGAATTTTGAATAATTCAAAAGCACTCAAAAAAGGAAATATGTGTCTTACAAGAATTATGGAGGGTAAAATTTTTAAAATAGAAGTTTCATTTAAATTTCTAACGTGGTCAGTATCATCACTTTTTATTTCTACTTTATAATTCTTGCTCAATTTAAAAACCAAACTGTTTGTTTAATCATTATAGTTTTATAATTAATTAAGGTTTAAAGTATTCAAAGTCATTATGCCAAAAATGTCTTAACATGAAATCTATAATATTAAAAATAGATATAATTACAGGTTTATTATCTTCTTCTTCATCTTCATTTTATTTTAATTATTTTAAGATTTATTATTATTATATTTTTAATTCTTATTATTTCTATGCTAATTCTCTACTTTTTTCTAGAAGTGCATCCCTTTGTTCAGTTAATTTTTCTATTTATTCTCTACTTCTTTAGATTGAATGTTTTAATTATTCAACATTTTATTCTAATTATTCTTATGTCAATTATTATTGTTCATCCTATTATGTAACTTATTAAATTTATTAATCAATTTCTTCTTCTTAAGTTTAAAGAGCTGTTTTATTTTATTCTATTTACTATTAAAATTATTCAACTTCTTATTATTATTTTTATAATAAATCTCCTAATTTTTATTCATCTTCTTCTTTATTTGTTGAGATTTCTATTTCATTTTAGTGATTTTAATTATTTTAATCTTTCTCATTATTGTTATCATTTTAATTAATTTCATTATTTTTATCATTTTAATTTTCTTTTTCAATAATTTCTTTTTATTCTAAATTTGTTTATTAAATTTCTTAACTTTATAATCCTTTTAAATCTTATGATTCTTACTCTTTCGTTTGATCTATATTATCTTCTTATTGTTAGGGTTATTCTATTTATTATTCTTATTATTCATTTTAATGATGATGACAAAAACATTAATGAATATGTTCTCTCATTCCATCTTTTGTAATAAAAATACTTTTGTTTTTGCTTTTAAGAATTCTCATTATTTTTTCTAATTGATTTAAATTAACTTTTTAGTTTAATTCATCATAACCTTTCATAACATGATAAATTAGCATTTCTAAATCCGATCTTTTTCTTTAATATTATTATTCAATTAATTCTTTCAGATCAGCAGGATTTGTAATATCATCGAATTCACTTGGCTTTGCAATCTATAATAAATCACAAAGACTTTCTAAAGGAGCTTTTTATAATAATACTTAATTATCAATATTATTAATTATTGAGGCTAAAGCATGAATACTATCTTAAAAATTCGAGATCTAAGATCCTTATTAATTTATATGAGTTGTATTATTTGAATTATTTGCAGTATTTGCATTATTTGAAGTATTTTCATTATCATTTTAAAATTCATTTAAATTCTTTTTTTCTTCTTTTTTTTTTACCTCACCCGCCTCACTCTGAACTTAAACTTATTCAAGTTCTTCAACTTATTCTTCCTTTTCTTTTTCTTTCTCTTAAGTTTAAGGATTTTAAGATTCATCAACTTATTCTTCTTGTTTATCTTGATTCTCTTCCTTTGGGTTTTCTTAATCCATTTAGATATAAAATAATTAATTCAAAATATATTCATAATTATTCGATTTCTATTATTAAAAATTAGAATTAATATATTCAAATTTGAAAATTATAATATTATGACATTTTCTCAAAAGACTGACTGATCAAAAAATATATACAATTGTAATTTTAAATTTTTTGCTATTGAATTTTACCTTTCTATTATAATAATAGTAAAATAAAGAGATATTAATCTTATTTTAGTTCTAATTCTTTAAATGCTTAATAATATTATAGATCTCTATTAAAATAAAAAATAAGAGATTGTTGAAACAATAATTTCAAATCTACATTAACTAAGATAAATTTTAATTTATAATCATACATCTTATTATAAAAATCTTAAGAGTTTCTTCTAAATAAATCATCCTAATTGATAATATGTTATAAAAAAAAAACAAATAATACAAATTTATTTTCAATTAAACTCTTAGAGAAATCGTAGCAAGATTAATAATAACTTTAATTGGTTTATTTAATTTCATAATGACTATTCATACTTAGCAAGTAATCTTTTTTTTAATAAAATATAAGTATAAATATCATAAGAATAATCAATTCTATTTGTGAAGGAAAGAATAATTCAAAAAATTTAATCAAATTTTAAGTAGATATTGTATTCTTTTTAAATTTCTTCTTATTTAAAATTAAAAGTACTTTTAATTAGAGAAAAAATTAATGGAGAATATACATTTTTTTTATGAAATTTGAATTAAAAGACTTTAAAATTAGTTTATGAATTAAAAAGATTTGAAATAAAAAATAGATTACCTTGAAATTAATTCAATTAAAGAGAAAGTTAAAAATAGTAATTTTACTAATTTTTTAATTCTCTAAATAAAATAAAGAAGATTGGAGTTATTATAGGGAATATTTTGTGAAGTTTATTTTGATTGAAAGAATTATTGAAAGAATTTTTCAAACTTCACTTCTGAATTACAAAAAATTAGTTATTTAATTATGGATTGAGATAATATTAATAATTAAATGAAATTATTAAAAGCAATAGATTTATATGGTAAAATTCCTAAAGGATTAGCAGAGCCAACAAGTTCAGGAGCTGTTGTTTCAATTATAACTTTAATATTTCTGGGATTGATGATAATGAATGAAGTGATTGTATTAAATAATAGCAATAATTTGTTTAGGAGTATGTTACAATAGATGTTCAATCAGAAATCATTGTGGATCAATAATTATAAAAGGATAAAGTTTAAGTGAATTTTGACATAAAGTTTATAAGAGCTGCATGCGAATTTGTAGAATTAGATTAATAGGATGCAATGGGATAGAGTTTATCATAATAATTCATTGAATTAAAATATTATAGATTAGATTCAAGTGAAAGAAGGATTGGTGAATATGTAAAAATAAAAATAGAAATAATAGATAAGAAATTATAATAATTGGGTAGTTATTGAAGATGCTAGAACAGCAGTAGGTGAAAAGTAAGGATGTGAAGTAGTTGGAAGTCTAAAAGTTAATAGAGTTAGAGGAAAGATATCATTTGGACCTCATCGATCTCATTCTTATATTGGCGCAGTTGGAAATATTCATCTACCATTAGACTATTCTCATAAATTTATATAATTTACTTTTGGAGATGAAAATGCTCTTAAGAAAGTGAAGAGTATGTTTAAATAAGGATAATTAGAATCATTGGCTGGCACTTAAAGAATTAAAAAATATGAATTGGCTAGTTAATCAGTAATTTTTAAATATTATACCTTTTAGATGTAACATGAACATTTTATCAATATTATTCCAACTCATTATACTTTGTTGAATAAATCAACATATTCAGTTTTTTAATATACTGCTAATCACAATGAAGTTAGATCACACAATTATCCCAGTACTCAATTAAGGTAATTCATTCAAATTATTTAGATATGACTTTGCTCCAACTACTGTTACATATTGGTAATCGAAAGAGGATATTTTACATTTCTTAGTCTAAATTTGTGCTGTGATTGGAGGTATATTCACTGTATCAAGCATGATTGAAGCTAGTGTATATAAAGCAATGAGAAGTTTATTAAAAGTTGAATGATTATTATTATAATTTAGATTTAATTCAATATATATATATATCATTCAAAAGTAAATATATTAATATAATTATATTATATCAAATGAAAATGCATTTTTCTAAATCAATTAATGGCATGTATTCAAGTTGTTGTTTATATTAATTAAATGCATAGATATCCAATTGAAATTCTCTTTTTTCTAATTCAACTTAATACTCTAAGATAAAAGACCAGCTAGTTTTCTTATATAAATCAATAAATTCTTCTTTAGTTATTCCTTAAATTACTTTACTGGCGGAATTCAAATTATTTATCGTAATCCCTATTATTTATTTTAATTATTAAACATGAAGACCTTAGAATCGTATCTTTATATCTTTCCAAATTTACATGTATTTTGAAAATCCTAAAATTAGAATCTAATTATACTATCCTAAAACTCTTTTTGGTCAATTTCTTAATTCTTCATTCCTTATTAGTCTTAATAGCAAGATTGGAAAAACTTTGATAATTTTTTATCTGTAACTTAGAATTTAAGAATATATTCACAATTCTAAACTAAATGATATAAAATAGTCCAACAGCCATTTTTAATAAAATTTAATAAAGACAAAGTCAATAATTCTTAATTCTTTATTTAAATAGTATTCAAAAACAAAAATTCATAGAGATAATACTTTTTAATAGCTTAATCAAATAACAGTGATGCATCTAATGAGATTTATTTTGTATATTGGGACATTTTATATAATGTTCTACATAATAGATCTGGCTTATAACTTATAGTAGTATTTTCATAATCCAAATTTTTCTTTTTGAAACGCTCAACATAAAATTTGGTTCTACTTGTGAAATCTAAAAGCAAAAGATGGCTGTAATAGCTAATTATATAATCTTGATAAGTTCCTGAAGTAATAGGCAACACTTTTACTCTATATTAGACATCAACGATTTCTTATGATATCTTTGCTATGTTTTCATAGTCAAAAAGGAAGTCTAATATTTCTAATGAAATTGAATAAACTTCATAATTAACTTCATTATCCATAAATTATGCTATGTAATACAAGCATAATTATAATATACTAATAATCCTTTGTTAAGAAAGATTTTTCAAGTATTTATCTGCAAATTAATTTTTAGTCAATAAGAAATAAAGTAATCCCATGAATTCTTAGACTCCTTTATTATCATGAGCTTTAGTTGTAATGAGATTAGTATCATAAATAAGGGATTGTTGCATGTTTTCAATCAACAAATCAAAAGAATAATCAAGTAAGTTAGTTTCTATAACAATTTTTCTAAATTTATTGTCATCATATTCAAATGAGAATATTAGATTCAAAATTTATGCACTGAGTATTGCCATAAATCTACATGTTTTTTATTGATATAATAAATTATCTTGAAACCAAAAGTAACCATGTTTATGAAATAAAATGACTGCCCAAAGAGATGCAAACATTTCAGCATGATCTTCAAATGCCAAATATTTTAATGCTTAGCTTGATTTTGGTTATTGTAAATATAATTACTCTTCCAAACATGCAAGTAAACAACTTAAAACTAAAACCCTGTTTTCGTAATATTATTTTTAATCATTTGGATATTTGGTTAAAGTAGCTAGACCTCTCCAAATATTTTCTAATTTTAATTTAATATCTTTATCAAGCCATTATTTTAACAAGGATTTTAATCTAGGGTCGTTCTCCAAACTAAATGTATCTCTTCCTTAAATTGTAAAACCAGGTTTAAATAATAAATCCATTAGGTTATCAATGATTCTGAACATTCGTGGTTAAGCTAAATTAGCAGCTTCTAAAGGTTCAATGTCTTCATCAGCTTTGACAACTGTAATTCTATTAACTACTTCAACTTCTACTTTTGAATTATTGGAAATGATTAATTAATGATTTTCTGCCAATAATATTGGAATAAATATTGTTAAATTCTTTAAGGTGTTCTAAACAATCTTATTATTTTCATGTTTCATCCTTTCAATAAGTGATTCTAATAATTATGGAAACTTTTCATGTTTAATAACTTCTCTAGCCTCAATAGGTAAAATTGGAGGTGAATCCTAACCTAAGAAAATGTTTAATTTTGTTTAAAACTCCTATTGTTTAATATATATTTTTATGATACATTATCACTTCCAACATTAAATAATGCTTTCAGAGGTTATGCTTAAGATTGACCCATAATAATTTATGTAATATTTTATATAATTTTATTTCAACTTTCAACTTTAATTTCTAGCTTTTCTATTTTATTCTTCTGTTTTCATTTATTTATGCTCACTTTTTCCCAAAGCCTTTTGATGTCATTTTTATATGAAATTTATTAGCATTTAAATAATATCTAAAGTCTATTATAATAAATCTGAATTTCAAGAATTGAGGTGTCAATTTGTTCAAAAAATTATTCTAATTACTTAAAATTCATTTCATTAAAAATTGGAAATAATCTAAGTTATGCATTTTACTAACCCAAAACTTAAACAATCATTTTTAAATAATTTTTTGCTTTAAACAATTCTTGAGTAAAATGAATAATTCATAGAAATATTTTAAATTTAATTTATTAGGACTTATGCAGAGAATTTTTCATTTAAAGTTTTGGTAGTTTCTTCTTTTAATGGTTTATTCCTTTTTTTGTTTAAAAAAGTTTTAATTCTATTTATATTTAAGAATTTTTAGTAATTTCTTCTTTATAATCTTTTTATTTATTCATCCAAATTTAAAATGGAGCCATTGATAATTCTTCTTATCCTTTTTAATAAATTATTAATCTTTAAATAATTTATCAAGGTTTTCTATAAGCTATTCTCTTTAATTATAAATAAATAATTATTATCATTCAACAAATATTAGATTATTATGATTTGATTAGTTAATGTTTGTATTTTTTTTGAAATTTGAGATCGTGAAATTGATTAGATTGATTGATTGAGTTTTTAAGTTTGATATAGTTTTTAATTTAGATGGTATTTTCAAAATTGAAGGAAAAATAAAATGATTGGTAAATCAAAGAGTAAAAAAAAATGTATATAATATGAATTTGAAATATTTTCATGTTAAAATAATGGCAAAATAAAAAGAATAGAATAAGAATTTGATTTTATAGTCTTAGTAAATGAAGATGATAATAATGAATATTAGTATATAATATTTTTAGTATATAAATACGTGTAATAAAAATGTTTGTCAAATTTGAGAGACATTCAGATAGAGTAAAAAGTGTGTCATTTCATCCTCATCGTCCATGGGTGTTAAGTGCTTTACATTCAGGTGTGATAGAATTGATAGATTACCGAATAAAGAAAAGGATAGGAACATATGAAGATCATTAAGGAGCGGTTAGATCAGTTTAATTCCATCCATAATTGAATTTATTCTGTTCTGGAGGTGATGATTATACAGTAAGAGTTTGGAATTTCAAATAATGTTAATTTGTATTAAAAGGACATCTTGATTATGTAAGATGTGTAACATTTCATCCAATAAATCCATGGGTATTATCTGGTTCAGATGATTAAACAGCAAGAGTTTGGAATTATTAAAGTAGATAGACTATTGCTATTCTAACTGGACATACTCATTATATAATGTCATGTCATTTTCATCCAACATAAGATTTTATAGTAACATGTTCTTTAGATTAAACAGCAAGATTATGGAATTATGGAGTACTTAAATAAAGATATGCATAAAAGAAAAATCAAGAATATGTATTATCTGGAGCTGAAGTTTAAGTTATTGCAATTATAGATGGACATAAAGATTAACTTAATTGGTGCGCATTTCATAAATCAGAACCTTTAATAATTACAAGTGGTGATGATAAAAATATTAAAATATGGAAATATAATGAAAACAAAGCTTGGGAATTTGATTCACTTACTGGGCATACTAATAATGTATGTTGTGCTGAATTTCATTCTAAAGGTGATGTAATAATCTCAGATTCAGAAGATCATACTATTAGAATTTGGGATACAACTACTAGAAAACAAATAGCACTTTATGAAAATAAACATTATGATCGTTATTGGATTGTATCTTGTCATTCCAACAATTACTATTTTGCATGTGGTTCTGATACTATGCTTTAAGTTTTTACACTACATAAAGATAGAGTTCCTATTTTACTTGTTAATGAAAAATACTTATGTATTGCTGAATAGAAAATACTTAAAGTAATTGAATTGAATTCAGGATAATCATCAACTATCAAAGATATTTCAACTCTCATTACTCCCACTCCCAATATACTTGAAGATAATATTGAATCTATCTAATACAATTCTTATGACACTTAAAAAACATAATTAATGATTAGATGTATTCGATCTCTTAAAGAACCTAATAAATTAAAAAGACATTTACTCATTTTATTTTAAACTTAAAAAACAGATTCAGGTGTTAAATAATTCTATTCTAAATCAGCTTGCTTTATTGGAAAAAATAAAATTGCCAGAATCAATTTAGAATCTTAAATAGAATTATATAATTATGAAACTGATGCTGTCTCTATAATTGATGATAAATTATCTTCTAAATTATTCCCTGCTCCTGGAGGCAAATTATTAATTTATAGAGATGGTATCAATAGTCATTTAGAATTGTTTGATCCACTATCTAAACAACCCTTAAATACTGTTGAATATTCTAATGCTAAATATGCTTAATATCATGATTCCTACTTAATTGTATAAGGAAAATTATAATTAACTATTCTAACTAAACAACTTTCCAAATTAATTGAAGTCTAAGAACAAATTAATATCAAATCCTTTATATGGGTCAATAATTTCATTATTTATACAACCAAAAGTTAAATTAAATATTTATTATTGAATGGAGATTCTGGTGTCTTAAAATCTACTGAAAACATCCTCTATCTTGCAAAAGGAGAAGAGTAATAAGAAAATAAATTAAAATTAATAGCTCTTGATAATACTGCCTAATATATTACTTAAATATTAGATATTTAAGAACCATTGTTTAAAATAGCCATTCTAAATAAGGATCTTAATGCTATTTATAAATTCGTTGAAAATAATTAAAATGAGGCTGTTCTCTCTTACTTATATTCCAAAAGATTAGCATCTGTTGCTTTAAAACTTGTCAAAGATAAATAAGGTAAATAAAATTATTTATATTATTATAGCTAAATTTTCACTCTCTCTTGATTCTGGCAATTTAGAATAAGCTTATAAAGCTGCTATTGAAATTAAAGATTCCATTTTGTTTGAATAATTAAGATCAGAAGCTTTGAGATAAGGAAATAATTTATTAGTTGATGTATGTGATTAATAACTCGACTAATTTGATAGATTAGCCTTCTTATATTTATGTACAGGTAATTTAGATAAATTAGAAAAACTACAAAGTATTTAACCTAATTACCTTTATTAATCCTAAGTTTTAAAATTTAAATCTATAAAATAAAATCTACCAAAACTATCTCAAATTATAGAATATTTAAATGGTAAAAATTAAAAACTAGATAAAAATTAATAAGAAACAATTGAATGGATATAATCGCTAGGCGGTAGTTAAGTTTTAATACCACCGAATCCAATAATGAAATATAGAAATGATCCATGGCCATTATATTAAATGAATGAATAAGATATAATTAATCTTGAAGTAACTGAAGAAACTGTTGTACCTTAAGATATTTTTACTATATAAAAATAAGTAATAGAAGAATCTCAAGTAGAAGACTAAATTAATAATGAAGGTTAATGGGGATTAGACGATGAACCAGAAGAAGAATTTTTTGAACCAAAAATAATAGAACCAAAAGATAAAAGTATAGATGAATAAGCATTCAGAGGAATGTATTTAGAATCATAAGGAGAACTTGCTATTAAATATTTTGCTTCAGGAGATTATGAAACTGGTTTAAAACTTTTAAAACAACAAATTAATTTGAATAATCCCTAATAATTATTAAAATAATTAATTGATGTTACAAATTTTTAAGTTTTATCATCCATTCCTTACTTAAGTAATTCAACTTTACCTGTTAAACTTAATCGGTTGAATGAAATTAAAACACTCATCAAATAAGGTAAATTTTATTTATCATATTTAGGCTATAAATTTACTACTGATGCCAAATTTGGAGAGGTGAGCAATTGTTTTTAATAGGTTTTATAAAAACTATTATTAACAGATTTTGAAACCAATCAAGTAGATGAAATAAAGAAATATATCAATATTAGCAGAAATTATATGATTGCAATGAGATGCGATGCACTCAAAAAAGAAAGTAATGCTTTGGAAATGGCTTGTAAAATGGCTACAATTGAACTTCAACCTTCACATAGAATTTTAACATTAAGATAAGCTCTTAGTATAAGTTACAAACAAAAAAATTTTATTACTTGCTAATCTATAGCAAAAAAACTTATTGAACTCTTGAAAAATGATAATACATAAAAACCTGAAGTTCTATAAAATGCATAAAAAGTAAAGAATTATATTTAAATATTAGTATGAGAAAGCCTCATTATAATAAAATACAAATGCCATATAAATTGATTTTAATGAAAATTGGCTAAATGAATAACCAATCTATTCTGTAAATACACTTAAAAATCTTTCAAATTATAAAACATGTCCTTATGATGGAAGTACATATGAAAATGATTATTCTTCAATTTGTTTGTTTTGTGGATTGTGTCTAGTTGGTAAAGCCCCTGGTCTAAAAAACTTGCAATAATCTTGAAGTATATGTAAAAAGAGATCTGTAATATTATAATGCTTCATTTTTATAAGATAGTCTTATATCTTTTTATAAATATCATTCTTTTCAATATTTAATAATAATAGTTAGAAATCAAATTAAAAATATTTAATTCTAGCTAATTTTCTAATAATAAATATCAAAATCAATGTTAATAAACGAAGTTAATTTTTCTAAAACATACACTATATTTAGTATAACAATAAATTATTCATAGTTACAATATTATTTTAAAATTTTATTTGTTATGATTATAAATTACTAAACAAATTCAAAAATTTAGCTAAAGACTTATTTAAAATATATTAATTTTTAAGATTTATTTTGATGTATAATAATTTAATAAGATGCATAATTAGATGAACAATAATAATTGCCATAAAAATAATTAGAAAAAAAATGTTGAATAATTAAAGCATTAAATCTATAGAAGTAGATTATTAATTGAAAAATTAACTGAAGATAGTAATTAACTTATGAAAAGAGTAGATAATTATCATAGAAATAATAAGAGTTAAAATATAAGAATAAATCTTAAAGATCTAATTAGGATAATATATTAATCTGCTCTATTAGAAAAGCTGATGCTAATTTTACAAAAGAGTAATTTTTGAAATAAAAGATGCTTATAAAAATAAAATTATAATAACTAAAAGGTTAATTCATTTCAATAATATTTGAAATTGATTTAAGAAAATTAAAAAAAAGATATAATAGAAAAGAAAATTAAATATTAGTTTGAGAGGAAGATATAAAGATATTTAAAATAATAGGAATATTTGAATGAAAAGAGATGAGATTTGGAATTATATGAATTATAAAATTAGAAGATTTGAGATATATATATAAATATTTATATAAAATGATTAGTTCAATAGTGTTTATAAATCATAAGGGTGAAATCTTGATATATAGGGTTTATAAGGATGATATAACAAGAAGTGAGACAACACAATTCTGTGCTAAGATTGTGGCAACAAAAGAAAATAAAGAATGCCCAATAATAAATATAGATGGTATTAAATGATATTTTAAAAAATACAGGAACGTCATTTATTCACATTACTATAAAAGACATTGTAGTGTTGGCAACAACAAAAGTAAATGTAAATGTAGCGATGACATTGCAATTTCTTTATTAATTAGTAGAAATTGATTATTAAATGTAGGTTAAAGTGTGTAGAGCTTATTTTGGTGGTGAATTTGATGAAAATTGTATAAAAAAGCATTTTGTGTTAATATATGAGATTTTGGATGAAGTAATGGATTATGGCGTACCTTAGATAGCAGATGCAGATCTTTTGAAAAAAGTATAAGGGATAATATTAATATAAAATAGTATATATAAGAAGGAGGATTGAAGCCAGAGTTGATGAATGATGTAGAGAAATTAAAATAATTAACATCATAAGCAACAGGAGCAACATCTTGGAGACCCCCAAATCTTGTATATAGAAAGAATGAAGTTTATTTAGATGTGATAGAGAGTGTGAATGTTTTAATGTCTGTAAAAGGAACAATTTTAAAGGCAGATGTAGCTGGTTCAATATAAGTAAAATGTTTATTGTCTGGAATGCCAGAATGTAAATTTGGAATGAATGATAAATTGTTAATGTAGAGAGAACCAAGAAAGCCTGGATAAACAACAACTGATAAGGGAATAACGATTGATGATTTGAAATTTCATTAATGTGTGAAATTGCCTAAATTTGATAAAGAGAGAGCAATAACATTTATTCCACCAGATGGTTAATTTGAATTGATGACATATAGAATAACAGAAAATATAAATTTACCATTTAAAATAATGCCTGTTTATAATGAGTTAGGAAAGAATAAATTAGAGATTCGAGTTAAAGTATATATAAGTATGCATATGTTGCAAGATTAAATCCATTTTTGAGAAGAATTTATTTGCAACAAATTTAGCCATAAAGATTCCAGTACCTAAGAATACTGCTAATGTAACTACCAATTCTGCAATTGGTAAAGCTAAACATGAACCAGATTAATAAGGGGTTATTTGGAGAATTAAAAAATATCCTGGAGATTTTGAAGCATTATTACGTTGTGAAATTGATTTAGGTTAAACTACCAATTAATAACCTTGGATTAAACCTCCTATTTCTATGGAATTTTAAGTTCCTATGTTTACAGCTAGTGGATTAAGAGTTAGATTTTTAAGAATTTATGAAAAAGCTGGTTACAAACCAACTAAATGGATAAGATATATCACTAAAGCTGGTGAATATTTACATAGATTGTGAAAGTAAAATAATCCAAATATATATATATCAATTATTATGAGGTCTTTAATTAATTTCAAACTATTATTTTTGTTCTGCTAATCAATCATACATAAATAATCATTACTTATTCTTAAACATCTAATCAATTCTTTATTATCTTTAAAATTGAATATTAATATTGTCTTCCCAATAATATTAATTACATTATCTTCGATCATTGATTATAACACATTATCTTAAATCATCAGATCTCTTAAATACTATTTATTATTATAGAATGTAATTTATAGATATATCCATCATTTAATTTGCTTATTTAGGAGAGATCCCTTTAATTCATACCTTCTTGTATCATCAATTATAATCATTATTCATTTTTGGTTGTAATTGATAATAAACTTAGGGAACTGTCATTATAATAATTAATTAATCATTTCTCTAATTCTCTTAATAAATTTGATAAATAAATCAATGGATTAAATTCTAAAGCTTCTCTTTATTATTTCATCTGTTATTTCAAATTTTATAATTCTTATTTATCAAGTGCTTCCTCATCCTCTTAATCTTCTTGAATCTAATTTAATGCTAGATTTATTTCTTTTTTCATCTCCTAAGGACTTAAATCATCTATTGATATTATTGTTTGACCTTAAATTTCATTGTTTAATGGAAATATTTATTCATCATTATTTTATATTTACTATTAACTCAAAGCTTAAAAATCATCATTTTCTACAGAACCCTCTGATGATGATTCATATGCGGATCCTAATTCATTTTTCAACCTTTATTTTTCTACTCTCTTTTATTCTATTCTATCAAATATCTTTATTTTCTTTAATCTTTCTTAGTGTTTTCTTACCTCCTCTGTCTTCACTACATGATCTATCAATTGCACTAAAGCTGTATGCAACTTTGGATAAACCTGATTCTCCAAGTATTCTATTTCTTATATTGAATGTATTGAATTTGTTAACTACATTAATTAATTTCATTTTGTATTACATTTATAATCAATTTAATTTTACATTATATTAAACTAATCTTCAGAATTTAAAATAAATTGACAATGTATGTTAGTTCATCCATATTATATCGTTTTTAATTTTTAATTTAAAAAATGAAATCCTCCTTGATAGCCTGTCTATTACTTAATGTCTTAACTGTTGAAATTACACTTAATAATCCAATAACTACATAAGCCCTAGAAAAATTATAAGAATCCAAATGGGCTTCATTTATTGTTCAATTTGCTGAAGTTGAATTATCTACTGGAGGAGCCTTAAATGATTTAGTAGATACTATTAATTAACTCATAACTCAATTAGAAGAAGAACTACAAGATATTCATAATTCCTATTCTAGAAGAACTGATCAACATCTTCGTGATGTAACTAGACTTGAATAAGAAATCCAAGATGCTGCTAAGGGTAATTATTTTTATAATCTAGATATCTTTACTGGATAAGATTTCATTGATAATGTTCTCATTCCATAAAAAGAAAGATTTCTCTCTGCTTTAACTTAATTGAAAATTAATATTGAAGAAAATAAAAGAATATTAAATGGAGAGATTGTAAACAGAAAGAGATAACATGAATAATTTTTGTCTAATATTGCTGAATTAAATGATGCTATTGGAGCTGTTGATGAATCACTTGGATTATTATCTTAAATATCTAATCCATCTCTTATTTAATTTAAGAGAGTATAGACTAACTTAAGCAGAATTCAAACATCCTTCTAGAATCGTTCTTCTTTTGCTCCAATAATAAAAGCTTTACTTGAATTAGCAACTGAATAAAACTTTGCTGATTAAGGTTCAGTATAATAAGTAATTGCTAAAAAATATTTGATTATTTTTAGCTGGTCAAAATTTTTAATGAATTAAGAGTATAATTTGTTGATTCTCTCAATTAAGAAACTGCAGATGAAAGTTTAGCAGAAACTAAACATACCGAAAGAGTTGCTTAATTAGAAAAAGAATTTGCAGAATTCTAACGATCAGTTTTAATAAAAAATTCAGAATTATCTTCAAATGAATGTATTTAATTTTGCAAGTAATTAATAGAAAAATTGGGAGAAACCATTGTTTATGTTGGATAACGAAAAGATGACAAAGAAACACTTGAAGCATAATTATAAGCAGAAAATGATAATTATGCTGCTGAAACTGATTTATATACAAGAACTGTTACAGAATATAATAAAGAAATTGAAATTAGTAAGCAAGCCTATGGTTTACTCACTTAACCAAGTTTTGAATAATATGTTCGATCAACAATTGGAATTTGATTAAAAATATAGATATAAATATAATATTTTTTAATTCAAAGAAGATATTTTATCAAATCTTTAGCAGCAATAGCAATAGATTTGTCTTCTTTTTGATATTTTTCCAAAACTTAAATTAAGATATCCTTTTTTTCTATCTTAAATGGTTTTTATTCATTTAATACTACCATCCAATGCAATAACTTAATGATTCTTTTATTTAGTTATGGGCATAATAATGGAATTAATTAATTAAATAATTGCTACCTAATTTATGATAGTTTTCCTGGATAAAAATAGGTCAAATGCAAAATATAAGTTAATAATGTTAATTGACATCCTGGTGTCGAAATATTTATTAATTGTTAAGCATATTAAAGAGTGAAATAAAATTGATCCTAAAAAAATAAGAATTCTTGAGGAAAAGGTTAAGGAACTAAAGTATTATCTGGACTGACTACAATTTTATTATTTCCTCGCTGCAATTCATTAATTATTTTACTCGTAATTGCAACCATAATTGATGAAAGATCTTCAAAAGCCCACTCTTATTTCTATTTAGTAAATTAGACAAATATTTAAACAGATTTATCTAAATTATAATAATTAAACATTACCTATAATTTAAAATTATTTAAGATCTTCTATTGAACTACCTTCAACAATTTTTTAAATTATATTTAAAGTATGACCTGTAATATTATTACTATCAGGTTTATACATATCTAAAATAGCCTAAAGGACTTCATGTCTTTTAAAATGGGGGAGAAAAAGTGAATTATATGTTAAGAGAATCGATGCTAATTTTAGAGCATAAAATGGTAAAGGAGGTTATTCTTAAAATAATTCCTTCAACAAAGGTAAAATGAGTGTTATTATGATATTATTTAATTCGTTTGAGTAAGGCTTTAAAAAATTAGGATAATCATATATTCCTTCTTCCTATAATAATGCACTTAGTAAATCTATGATCAATTTTAAAAACATAAACTTAGTTTCAGTACTTTGTTACTTAATCATATATTCTATACAATTTTTGAGAACTTATTAAATAATAACTTATTGTTATTTTAATAATATTTTTGAATTTGTACACATTTTAGACATAATATTCAATAAAGTTGTTTAAATTTAAGTTTTATTCTTTGATAATGATAATAACTCTGTAAGAATAGGTAAATATTAAGATGAAAATAATGATTATTATAAAACTGGTGTTTGTGAATATTAGAATAAAACATTTAAATAATTTCCATTAGTTTTCTTTGGAGAATATTCCATTAATTATGAATCATTCAAAGATTAATTAATCTATGTGATCATTAAAGGAGTGCAATCACATAATTATTAAACTAAATGTGATAAACATTATTTTAAGTAATCGTTATTATCTCTAAGACCTTTATCCAATATTTGATAAAATCTTAATTGTTCTTCTGATAAATTAATTAGAGTGATAATATTAAATTTAATCATCAACATCAAAGCAATAGCTGCCTTTCCTCTACTTACAGCATTACCATGATCCAACAAATAAACTAAACCTTTTATTAATTAAGCTAATATTTTATAAGAAATAGTATCATACATTCCTCCATCAATAATTTATTGACTGCATTTGAAGCCAATTAAGATACATTATTGTTTGATGAATCTTATGTGCTTACACTTTGTAAAAGATGAATATTAAAAATTGTTATCATTGCTTATTACACTCTTTATAAATTATCCAAAAATATCTAAACTTATTAAAATTTAATTATACCTATACTAAACTTTTCAATCCAAGATTTTACATAAACACATCAACTTATTGATTATCTAGCATTAATAGATTCGCTAATGTAATTGCACAACTAATTCTTAAGCTATCATTTTTAGTTGACAAAAAACATTAGAGAATCATCAAAACTATTTCTGGTTTAGCAAATCTTTATCCTATTGATATTGATTAAGATGAAATATTCTCAATTGTTTTTATGCAATAAAATTTTACTAATTAAATTGCTGAAATTAATACCAATTTCATCTTCATTTTAAGATTTGATAACTTTAATCAATTAATTGAAACTAAGATTGCTCATCTTCCAAAAGGGATTCTGAGGATCTTCTTCCATTTATGTTGCTCCATAAAATAAATATTCTCCCAAAGCGGCTGCTGCTTTTCTTCTAACATTATTCTATTCCTTCGAATTTAATATTTCCACCATAGCTTCAGGTATTCCATGTTATGAAACTTCTGGTTCAATGACAGTTGCATGTCGAATTAATAAGCCCAAAACACAACAAATTCGATATTTTAATTATGTTAATTTACTTACTGTAAGTAATTTTAATAATAATTAAACATAAGCAGAGTTAATTAAACGATTAGCTGCATTTGAGGTTTAAATTATTTGTTCAAAATAATTTAAAATATTTAATTATTCCTATTATTTTCCTACTTGTAATGAATTATATATTTATTCGAAATGGTATTCTATTTAATCTGTCTCAATATTTTTATTAACATCATCTGAATTAATGTATTAAAAAGGCAGTGAATCTTTGGCAAAGGTAGCATCAACAGATTTTTCAATTTCTCTATTTCCAATAATAGGTTTGACAGAATTATCAGAACTATGAGTAAATAATTAATCTATAGGAGTTAATTAATCATTTTCATTTGCCTTTTTTTATTAAGGTGTAATTCCACCTGGAATAGGTGATTAATTAAGAAGACTTTAAGTAGATGGATGAATAGAATCTTTTTTAATAGTGAATGGTTTTTATTGTAAATGAGGAGAATTAGCAGAATTGAGATCAGATTAGACATTAGTTTAATATTCTTCAGGTGTTCTATCAATTTCTTCATCTTCTTATTGTTATTCTGAACCAATCAAAATTTCTTAATCTTTATTAGTTAATTTAAAATCTTTATCATTGCTAGTATTTTATTTATGATATTATTATTATTGAGAACTGGAAGGAACATCTTCTCTTAACATATTTTTATGAACATTTAAAGATAATCTGACAATATCTACTTATTTATTATTTTATTAGACAGGAGTAACCCTAACTAGATTGTTTTTTTTACACCAGGTTTCAAAATGTGGTTGAGAAGGAACATTCAAATATTGAATATTTAAGAATCTGCATATTTTTTCCCAAGTCCATCTTTTGAGAGGATCCTTCTCCAATAATCTAGTATAAGATAATAAGATATACCCTTTAATAAAATCCCAACATTAAACTTCAAGTGGTTTAACTTCAGCATTAAGAATCAATTCAACTAATTCAGTAAAGCTGCTGCATTAGAAGGGAGGTTATCCAATACATAATTCATAAGCAATACATCCTAAGGCCCATAAATCACTTTAGAAACTATATACTCCACCTTCATGAAATAATTCTGGTGCCATATAATATGGTGATCCTCTTTTAGACATTTCTACATCTGGGCCAATGGTTGCTGAAATCATATCAACTAAACGTTTTGCATTTCCCAAATCACTTAGCTTAGCTACTCCATACTCATTAAATAAAACATTGGATGGTCTCAAATCACAATAAACTATAATAAATTAAGATTTTTAACTTATTCCTTTAGAATGCAAATAATTTAATCCTGCTGCCATATCTCTTACAAAACGCATAACAATGTTTTCTTATAATCCTTATTAATCTGCATCAATTAATGCCATTAGATCTCCACCTGGACAATACTCCAATATTACCCATAAATGATTACGAGTCTCATACCAATGATAAAATTTCAATATATTTGGATGCTTTAAACCAGAAAACATTTTAACCTTAAAGATATAAATATATTCATACTTCATTCAAAAGTTTAGTACGTCTACTTTTTTCTAATGATTTTACTGCCATATATTCAATAGTCTTTTTCTTTCTTCCCTTATAGACAACAGAATACTTTCCTTTTCCTATCTCATCATAAATATGATAGTTATTCATAATATTTAAATTTTTGTATTATTTTATTTTATGGGCAAGAAGAAATTCATTAACAAATAGAATGCTGCAACACTTAAAATGGTACATTAACCAGGTGAAAATAATCAAGGTGCAACAGACATGATTTGTTTCTAAAAAGTTAATTAACCTGGTGCTCAAAATGAATTGTATTTTTATTAATTATTCTATATCATAGATCTGAACTAATTGAAAAAGAACTTAATAAAGGTAAATTTGATCCTAATCTTAAACCTTAAATTCCTTAAATTGATCCTACTCAAGATGCTTTAAATCTTGTAGCTGGAAGAGAAGATTTATGGATTCATTAATTAGCTAAATAAAAGGCTTTATAAGCACTTAAATAAAAATAAGAATAATTCTAAGATGTTGTTATGAAACATTATGATGAAAATGGATTACCTTTGGATGGTTATGATTATACTTAACATCTTGCTCCTGAAAGACGTATTTATTTATATTTATTATTAGCATAAGGAGAAGTAGAATGTGTTTTTGTTGTTCCTGAAGAAGAAAGATCTAAGGTTGTTTATGATATTGATTTTAAAAGAGAAGAATTAACTAAAGAATAATAAGAAGTTTATGATTTATTAATGAATGAAGATGATGAAGAAGATAATAACAATTAAGATAATTAAGATCAATAATTAGATGATGATTTTGTTGCTAATTTAATTCAATAAAATTAATAATTAACTTCATAATAATAAAATTTAGAAAAAGTTCAAAATGTACATCAAATAGTATAATCACCCAAAAAATAAGTTAGATTTTAAGATTAAGAAGAATCTAATGATAATGATGAAGATTATGAAGATGAAGATGAAGAAGAAATTGAAATTACATATGATAAGAAATTAATGAATACTAAATAATAATAATAATAATAATAATAATAATAAAAATAAACTAAATAATAATAATAAAGTGATTCAGATTCAGATTTAGAAATTGATTCAGATATGGAAAGAGAATTTGAAAGAGAAATGAATGCTTATGAGGCACCTGATGATAATGAAGATCCAGATTAATAAAATAAAGAATTTGTTAATGATTAAATGCTTAATAAAGTTATTGATGATCATTTAAACACTATGACCAAGAAATAGTAAAAAAAATCTAAAAATTAACATAAATCTAAAGAAGAAGAAGAAGAAACTGAATGTATTAAATAATATGAATTATTATAGAATAAAGAGAAAAAAGACTTGAATATTTAAGAAATACAGATTATAATGAATACTTGCGATAGAAATTTCCAAATGCTGATTTTTCTTAATTCCATTTAAAAAAAGAAGTTCCACCTCTTACTCCTGAAGAAGATATTGCATTATAGAATTATTTAAATAGAGAATCTACTGATGAAGAATGTCCTGATATGGAACCAGCTGAAAAATATTAAGAAACTATTGTAACTAAATCTTTACATAATACTACTATGTCCAAAATGAATCCAGATCAATTAAACATTATTAAATATAAATCAAAAGGTTAAGCATAAAATACTAAAGAAGATAGAATGAAATAAAAACAAGAAGAAAAAATTAAAATTAATGAGTTAAAGAAAGAAAAAGAAAAAGTCAAAGATGCACTATGTGGTAAGACTTTTATAAATTTTAGAAACTTTGAAATAAGTAGTAATTAAAAAAGAAGAAACTCCTGAAGAAAAGAAACAAAGAAAAGAATTAGTAAAATAATTAAAATAAGCATAAAAAGAAAAAAAAAAAGCATTTAAAGAATAATTATAGACTATGTCTAAAAAATTATAAAAATAAAAGTTAGCAAATATCTAAAGTAATCAAGCCGAAGGTGTTTCAATAGTTAAAATTGGATGATTATTATATTTTTGTTTCATATCATCATATATATTTAATAAATTATTTTAAAAATGAATACTGTTATTGAATAAAATAAATTAAAGAACTTAGCAACTTATATTAATGAAGAGGAAAAGAAATTTCAAAAACATTTAGAAAAAACAGAAAAAACAAATTAAAAAAGAATAGATCTTGAAGAAGAAATTCATAAAATTTAGTTAGAGATAATAAGTACATTATAGTAAATCTATAGTTAGAGTAAAATCATTTAAAAGAAAAGGCAGAATTACTTCAAAAGGATTATCCTTCTCTAATAGAGAATAAATCACAAGAGATTATTAATCTCCAAAAAGATTTAGCTTTAGCTACAGCTTCTAAAAAAGTAAAATTTTAAGGAAACATAGGCAGCTTAATAAGAATATGATATTTAGATTAAACATCTATAACAATAAATTGCGGAGTTAAAAAGGGAAAAATACGATTTGAAAAAAGAGAATTTAGGAAAATAAGAAAAATAAACAACTTTGCATATGGATCTATAAAAATTTGGAAAGGTTTTATAAAGTAGAGAAAAACCTCCTGTTGAATATAAAATTTATAGCTCTTCTGGGGGATTTGGATCTCTTTATTAACCATAAGTGCAACAATAATAAGATATGCTTTATTTAAACAATTGATTAATTACTAAAATATATTAAATTATATTTTTTTTAACTTATTATAATAAAATCCATACATTTGTCCTTTTTTCCATCGTTAAGACCTTATGAGTTTATCAAATATTAGTATTTAAAATATAAGTTAAATTTAAAAAACTAAAAAAGAAATTTTATATATGAAAATAGAGATTAATCAACAATGAGTATTTAAAACATTGAGGGAACAGCTCCAAAATTAAAGCCATATTAATACATAAATAAAAAATAATTTTGCAATGATGATATTCCAGGAACTAAATCTAGACTTTTAATTAGATAAAACAATAGATTTGAAAATTAATAAATAGTTGATAATATGGTAAATAAATTTAATATTTAAACCTTTGAATTATTTAGATAACTTTTTGAGAACCAATAAGAAGAAAGATTATTGATAATTAAATAATATATATGATATAGAAGGATGTAAACAAGAATCTCTTAAAAAAGTTATTGAATAAAAGATACATAAATACATTAATGCCTGCTTATTACAGATGGCTTATTAAATGCCACGAAATAGTAAAATTTAGTATTTTGATTTTAGTTCTATAAAACCAACTATTGTATTTTATAAAAATGCTAGCACATAAATGTTAAGAAATGCATAAAAAATGAATTTTTTCTTGCCTAAAAGTTGATCAATAATTTATTGATATTTTAAACATCTTAATAATTTAAATTGGGTTTCATCAGAATAAGAAATTCTAAATTAGATTATAGAATTTCATAAATTCATAAGCTTTCTATTTCTATTATAAATATAAATAATTAAATGAATCCAATAGTAGGCAATAATGTTGGATCAGATTAAGGTGCTATTTAAGCTGCTTTTCCAGGAGAATACAAAGGATTTGCTCCAATTGGAAGAGGTTCTTATGCAAAAGTGTATAGAGCGGAAGATAATTATGGACAGACTGTGGCTATAAAGGTAGAATACTATAATAATTATAAATAGGTTATAGATGTAAGAAATATGTAAAAGGAGATAATTCCTTATATGTAAAATGAAATGAAATTATTATCAGAAAGTGATAATAAAAATGTAATTAAGTTGTTCAAAAGTCATTAATCTCCTGATAAATTGATTTTGGTTCTTGAAGTACTATTTTTAAATTGAAATATAGTATTGTTTCTTAGATGTTGAATTTATGGTGAAAAGATATTATAAAGGAAAATTACCCGACAATTTGGTAATAATCATATTGAGATAACTTGCAAATGGATTATCTTATTTACATAAGAATAAAATAATTCACCGAGATTTAAAATTAGAGAATTTTGCTGTTTAACTTACTGTAGAAGATTAAGATGCTTTATAAAAGAGAAATGATTTGACAGTGTTTGAGAGAGCCACTTATAAATTAATCGATTTAGGATTAGCTAAGAAATTGGGAGATCTTACAGCTTAAACAAGTACATGGGCAGGAACAGAATTAAATATGGGTATTAAAAATTAATTATAAATAAAGCTCCTGAAATTTTAAATGAAGAAAAATATTCTTTTCAAGCCGATATGTATAGTTTAGGAGTGTGCTTATATTATATGGTTGCTGGCAAATATCCATATTTTGATCCTACTAATAGAACTCCACTCTAAGATTTAATTAAATAAGAAAATGCTGATCTTAATCTAATACCAAATATTTAATTGAGAAGTCTGATTCAAAAAATGCTTAAATTTAATCCAAAATAAAGACTGACCTTTTAAGAATTATATTAACATGAATTTCTTAAATATAGAGAAGGAGATTTAATGAATCCACTTGATTTAGAATTAGATTCAAATTAAGTTATATACTCTCAAAGAATTGAAGACTCCACTTTTGAAGATGTTCGAACAGAATAATAACTAATATAATAATATACAACAAATTAATATCGAATAGATTAACAATAAACATTTGAAAAAAAAAGTGATGTTAAATAAGATTTTTCTTCATCATAATAACAATAATATTGTAATTTTGTATAACCTGATACTGAAATTTAATAATATCCAATTATAAGCTCTGAATATAAAAATGTATTTCCCAATAATACTTATGATCCAATTAAGAAATAAAATGATTAAATCATGCAACTATATCATATTAAAAATTAATATGCAGCAATTATGAAATTGGCTGATTATCTTGAATAAATAATACCGATTGTAAAAGGAACTAAACTTGATTTTTTTACAATGGAATCCAAATTTAATATGTATATTGAGTATCTGAGAATGGTTTCAAAATAACTTTACTTAAAATTAAAATAGAGATTCTAATTCTATTAACCTAGCTTAGGGTCTTTTGATAGATATTAGTTATTAGAAAAACAAGTAAAATAGGAAGATTAAATAAAATTTGATAACATTAAAATTAAAGAAGGAGATAGTAGTGGAATGATTTCATGGTTTAATAAAAAAGTTTTTAAATCTATTAAATGCGAACCCCATGATTCATTGAACTTTAATTAGCAATATTAATAAAATAATATTGAATTGTATAAAGAATTGTTAAAGATGTTATAGGATACATTTTATAAATATTAAGATGACTCAGATCCTAAATTAAAAAGAATAAAATGTTTACTTTATTTATCCATGATAAATACAGCTAGATCTAGAGTTTTATTTTAGGTAGAATTATAAAATGTTGATTACAAAGCTGAAGAACTTTTATTAACTAAGGCTCGTGATGAACCAGATACTCTATCAGAAAAAGTCACATCTATTTTGGCTTAATACAATTTAAATTATGACTGATCAATTTTAAAATTAAAATATCAATAAAATTTTATTTTAATATTATAATCTAAAATGAATTATAAAAAATAAATTTCTTGATTAATAGTAATTTATAATTAAAATTATCGTTAGAAAACAAATGAAATACTAAGAGATTTAAAGAGAAATCTATACAAATGATGAGTTATGTTTATTCCTCAAGTTTCATTTAAGAATTTCTAGCGCAGCTTGCTTAACATTATCAATAATTTAACTATACCTATCAAGTTAATACAACCTTTAATTTCATCCATTTTTTGATATGTTGCATTTGATGACAGAAATGATATCTATCTTATTTGCAATTTTAGGATTGGTTTATTCATTTTCATATATAACGAAGTTGTAATAATTAAATTGTTAGTATTATGAAAATTAAAATGATAAAATATCAAGATTATTATTTATTGTTATTTGCTTTATATTGGCTATAGTTATAACTTTAGGAGTTATGAATCCAATATTTTTTGCTTTAGGAATGCAATCTAAAGTTGCTTAAATTGATTATTCATCTTATGAAGATTTATTGTTATTAAATCAATCAATTAAATCATCAAGGAATCTAATTATTGAAATAATTGTATCAGCTGCTTAAACAATAAGTCTAATATTTATGGGATATGTTTTCTTATTATTTAGTAAGAATACTATCACATATAATTATTTTATTTATTTTTTTGCTTTGATAGCAAATCTAATAGCTATTGTGATTTATTCATATCAATAAGATATAAAATTGTTAAGTATTATAAATAGTGTACCAAAATCTAATGATGAATACTTAGTAACATTTATTTCTGAAGCTTGTTTATTCATTGCTTTAGTCATATTTTCAATATTTTTAATGGATACTTTAAGTCAGTATTACAGATAATTCAAAAATCCTATCTACAAATTTATTTTAGGGTATTATTAAATATTTATTTAGAAATATAATTATTGGTTTAGTTTTTGCTTTGATTGGTAGTAATGGATAATTAATCAGAAATCTATAATAATATTAAGAAATCTATATGGATAAAGATCTATGTAGAAATTAAATGAATTTAGTACCATCCTAACTTTTGAAAGATTTAGGATGTTCAAGTAAATATTTTGGAACTGAAAATTCTTTAACTTTAGATTGCCCTAATGAATAATAAACTCATATTTGGGAATAAAATAAAACTGATTAATTTGGTTGTATTAATTGGAATTGTTGTAGCCTGATTAGTTAGATATTATTAAGAAAATATATCACCTATTGCTTATTAACAAATTGGGAGGCAATACTCTTAATTATGTTATCATTTATGATCTTTTAAATTAGATTAGTACAAGAAAATGGTAAATCTATATTATTTATTTGACAGCTATTTCCTAAACACTAAAATAAATTGCTCTTTTATTTTCTTTCTCTCTAATATTCGCAGGAATATTTGCAGCTAATTCTTTACCAGATATTGAAATATACAGAAAAACCTATGTTTCACCATAAAATTACATCCCAATAAATAATTTGAATACATTACCTACACATTAATTATTTTAAACTATTGATTGGCTTCCTTAATAATGCTCTCAGAAAGTACCAATAGATATTCTTTAAAATTTATAAGATTATTGTTCTAATAACTGTAAATTAATTGAGCTATTTCTCACAATTGAAAATGGATAATTTTTAGTGAATGCAATAAATTAACAAAATTTAATTATTTCTCAAGAAAATTAAGAAGGCTAAGAATTTTTATATTTTAAAGGTTATTTCAATGAAATTTTAAAAATCATTTAAGATAAAATTTCAGTTTGTATCTTTTCACCATCTACTACAATAAAATTGAATTTTTAATAATCAAGAGATAAAAAAAGATATAGAAAACATAATAAATAATCTGACTCCTTGTTAATACATAAATAAATAACATAAAAACCATCATAAATTTAAGAACAAACACTAAGTTAATTAGTTAAATATTATAATATTTAATTAATCTTCTATGAAAGTAATTATTTACCATTAGGAACATAAATAACAATATATAATTCTTTGTTATATAATTGTTAAAGTATAAATATTAATGCTGGTAAAACTATGATCATTGACTAGTCTAATTAGAAAACAAATAATTTAACTTTCTACAATTATCCTTAAGGTTAATATGCTACGGTTGTATTAAACACTGAAAGTTCTCAAAGTTGTATTTACATTTTGAGTAATCAAAACATATATATTCATCCAATCATTCCTATAAAGTCAGATTTGACGATAACATTATCTTGGTTTGGAATATATGATTTAGATTTATTAGTTGAAAATAAAATTTGTAAAGTAGGCAAAAAATTTCAGAATGATTGTGGAACTATAAAAGCTCACTTTGATTCAATTATTGGTAATTAACAAACTTCCAAAGAATTATCGAATGGTGAATAAATTTCTATAGATTATTTATCTACATATGATTATAAGATATATGTTTAGATAACATTAAATAAGGAATAAATTATTAAACTAAAAAAAACATAGTAAGATAGTATTACCCTATTTTAACAGTCAAATGCTTAAGTGCAAATCTTTTCTCAAAATAGTAGGTTACCTTAAGCAAATGTCTTTATTAAATAAATAGTTTAAGCTGATTAAATTATCAATGAAAATGATAAATTTATATATAAGTGGTTTGTTGGATGTATAAATAATGGAGAACGATTAGAAATTATTAATCAAATCAAAATTAATTATGAGTGTTGATGTTTAGTTTTATATAGATAATTATATCTAAATCAAATATTTTCTTTAAAAAGTCTACTTATTGAGGTTTAACTTCCTTTTACATCGATATTTTCTTTATACAGAGAGGATTTTCGAACCTCAAAATAGTTCGATTCCTAAAATATTTAATATTTATTATATACTTTTATTTTAAGATCTAAACCTCTCCTTTTATATGCATCAAACTCTGCTTATATCATCATTAAATCTTCTTAAACTCTATGATAATCCTTATTTAAAATTGAAAACTTTTGTTTCCATGTTTCTACTTCATTTTATAAATAACTAATTCTTTCTTCTAAATTAGAGAGATCAATATTATTATTTTATTCTATTAATCTCATTTGAGAATCCATCTCAACTAATTATAATTATTTAATTTTAAGTTCTTCTAATAATTTCTCCAACTTAAATCTTAAAGAACTTTCAGATTCAATCTTATTTTCTAATTCTTTTTATAAATTTTTAGTTTATAAATTAGTTTATTCATTCAAATATTTAAGTTGTTATTCTACGTCTTGAAGATGAGATATTTTATCTTATTAAAAATGATTTTTCTTATTTAATTCTTATTCTAAAGAAAGCTAATATTTAAGATCATTTTTTAGACTATCTATTTACTTAATATTTTCATCTAATTATTCTTGTAATAATTTTGATTTGATATCATAATTTTAACTATTTTAAAGATTACTTTCTTTTAATTTTTCTATATCCTCTTCTTATTTTTATTTATTTTTTTCATGTTGATTTAATTTATCTTCCTAAGATTTTAATTATTCTTATTATTGATTATTTTAATCTTTCAATCTTTCTAACTCAAAACATTAGAGTAATATTTATTCTAATAATTTTAACTTATCTTATTTTATAGAATCTTCAAATAAAACATGATTCTTAATTTATGATGATAATTTGGTAATTTATTCTTAAGAATTTTGTTTAAGATCTGAAAGCATTGATTCAAAATTTTAATTTTTTAAAAGTAGATTCTCCTACTCTATTTTCAACTATTTTAATTGTTCATTTAACTATTACTGTTATTTTCCTGCTTCAATCTATTATGATTAAACTTCATTTTCCAATTAATTATTTTTATTTTCAAAACCAGTATTCTGCTATTGTAATTGGCAAATTTGATTCTATAATGATCTATTTAATTCATTTTATAATTCTAATTATTATTCTGATTATTAAAGACTTTCTTTTTATAAGTTTAAATCATTTTTTAGTTCAACATTTAAGATTTCTTCTTGACTTAATTTTAAATGATAATTTTTTATTTATTCATGATAGTTTTCTTAATTAGTTTTTGCTGTTTGTAACTCTTCAAATAGAAGATCTAATTAATTAGTTTTTTCATTTAATGAAACAATTAAAACTTAATTTTTATTGTTCAAATCTCTAATATCTTCAGATTTCTCTTCTAATTCTTCTTATTTTTTTTATAATTGATTTAATAAAGATGTTATTTCCTTATTTTTTATTTCATGCTCTGAATCTTTGTTTGAAACTAAATTTAAATGATCTTAAGTTTATTGAAGTAATTAACTTTGCAAGATTTCATTTGCTTGATCATTAATAATAACTTATTAATTTAATTAAAAGTTTTATTCTCTTTAATCATTTAATTCATTCTCAAGTTAATTAATTTTGTTATTTAAGTTGTCCATTTATTTTGAAAACAAATTAGTTTTTTCCTAATTCAATTATTCATTCTATTAAGATTAAGCTAATTTGTTTTCTAAGAGTTCCAAGTTATCCCTATAATTTTAGATTAAAGAATCTTTTTAAGCTAGCAATTGTTAAGTTTATAAGTCTTTTTGATTGATTTCAGATTTAAGTTCATTAATAATGTTATTAGAGAAAAAGAGATCTTATTGATAATGATTGGATTTAGCTTATAAATCTGAAATATTATTATTTCTTTCCTCAATAACATTTTATCCAAGTTATAATTATTTTTCGTAATCTTATATTCTGAATGTCTATTGTGATATAAGTTAATTTTTATCCTCAATAACATATTATAATCTTTCGATTTCAGTAGTTAAAAGTGCAATTTTATTTTCAAGTACTTCTTATTATTTTAACTATGAAGTTAAAAATCTAATTTAATCATCTTAATATTAGAACTATGATTTAAACGTACTAAGTTCAGAATTCAGATAAGAAACTTCTTGCTTATGATTTTTTTAAGTTTCTTCTGATAATTTTTTCATATTTTCTATTTCAATACTAGTGTTAACCCAAGTTTAATATTTGTTTTCATATTTCTCTATTTGACCATCTAAATCATTTTAAAGATCAATAAGTTTTTGATTTAATTTATTATTTTCTTGTGTCAATTATTCAATTAAGGTTTCCTACCATTAGTAAATACTTACATGTCCTGAACATTTTTTTTCTGTACACAATTTAACAGTACGAGTTTCTATAACTGGTCTATATGTAGTTGTAGTAACAGTTGCTTTAGGTCTTGATTAATATGTTGTAACCTTTGCCAATCTACCACATGAATCATGTCTTTTATCTCTTGGTGGAGAATTAACAACTCTTGTTGTAGCAATAGTCTGAGTTTAAAAAAACTTAGGAGATTGTGGTCTCATTAGGAGAGAATTCGTTAAATTTATTAATAATTTTTAATACAGTTAAAATGAAATAAGATAAAATAATTAAATAAGTGATAAATTTCATTAATAAATTATCTACACACTATCAATAATCTATTAGTAAAGAACTTTTATTGACATTTTTGGATTTATAAAAATTTATTAACAAATTTTAATTATGGAAGCATTGATATCATTGAATAATATAATATTTAAAAATATATAAATAATTCTTTTAAAAAAATAAATTATTAGAAGATGATAAATATATATAAATATATATTGCACTAATTATAATTTCAATAATAATTTATTTCTTCTAAAATGTCATTAGACAATTGTCCCAAAATATCAAATTATTGGACTATTACCATATGTTAAATAATAGCATCATAACATAAAATATTCTAAAAAACTCAAAATTGAGATTAACTATTTTTGGAGGAAAAAAATTGAATTAGATATTACGTTTGAGAAAGAAGAATGCAATTAAGAATAATTGAAATTTGGATTTGATATCTATATATTTGTTTAGGAATCAAAGTAAATTTGTTAAATTTCATTAGATTACCTTAGTGATTATTTTTATACTTACATATTTTCTTTAAAAATCAAACATTAAATTCTCAAATAAAATCAAGCTAGATTAAATTCTCTTGGAAACAATGTTAACGAAAATTCAATTATTAGGTTTACCAATAATTGTAAATTAAACTTATTCAATTTTTATAAAAACTCATAGCTTTTAATAATTTAATAGTTATATTGATTACGAAAAATATGCTATTTCAACTTTCTAATTTCCTTTCGTCATAATCTTAAAATGGGACTTAGTAAACATTAATCGATGAATTTGATAAACGTCCTCCATTTTTTTTATAGTCTTACTTTTTTTTAACTCTGTTAGCTAATCTTATATATAAATTATTTTATTATTTTTAAAATTCTTCTTGAACAGTTGAATCATTGGCTTCATTATTTTTTTCAAATTATCCAACAATATTTTCACAAACGCTTTCATTTACTTTTTAAACTTCCTCTAATTCATATAAATGGACCATCTTCTTTTATTTATAATTGTCTATAGGTTATATAGGAAACTCTGATTAATTAGCCATTATTAAATTTTTTAAGATATCTTCTTAATCCTATTTACTTTTTTTTACTATCTATTATAACAATTAATGTTGCTTATCCATAAAATAATATGTTATTGGANTAAAAATTTATTAACAAATTTTAATTATGGAAGCATTGATATCATTGAATAATATAATATTTAAAAATATATAAATAATTCTTTTAAAAAAATAAATTATTAGAAGATGATAAATATATATAAATATATATTGCACTAATTATAATTTCAATAATAATTTATTTCTTCTAAAATGTCATTAGACAATTGTCCCAAAATATCAAATTATTGGACTATTACCATATGTTAAATAATAGCATCATAACATAAAATATTCTAAAAAACTCAAAATTGAGATTAACTATTTTTGGAGGAAAAAAATTGAATTAGATATTACGTTTGAGAAAGAAGAATGCAATTAAGAATAATTGAAATTTGGATTTGATATCTATATATTTGTTTAGGAATCAAAGTAAATTTGTTAAATTTCATTAGATTACCTTAGTGATTATTTTTATACTTACATATTTTCTTTAAAAATCAAACATTAAATTCTCAAATAAAATCAAGCTAGATTAAATTCTCTTGGAAACAATGTTAACGAAAATTCAATTATTAGGTTTACCAATAATTGTAAATTAAACTTATTCAATTTTTATAAAAACTCATAGCTTTTAATAATTTAATAGTTATATTGATTACGAAAAATATGCTATTTCAACTTTCTAATTTCCTTTCGTCATAATCTTAAAATGGGACTTAGTAAACATTAATCGATGAATTTGATAAACGTCCTCCATTTTTTTTATAGTCTTACTTTTTTTTAACTCTGTTAGCTAATCTTATATATAAATTATTTTATTATTTTTAAAATTCTTCTTGAACAGTTGAATCATTGGCTTCATTATTTTTTTCAAATTATCCAACAATATTTTCACAAACGCTTTCATTTACTTTTTAAACTTCCTCTAATTCATATAAATGGACCATCTTCTTTTATTTATAATTGTCTATAGGTTATATAGGAAACTCTGATTAATTAGCCATTATTAAATTTTTTAAGATATCTTCTTAATCCTATTTACTTTTTTTTACTATCTATTATAACAATTAATGTTGCTTATCCATAAAATAATATGTTATTGGATCCATTTAAGAATCATAATATGATACTATTTCTCCATACATTTAAGTCATTTAAACTAACTAAATTCTTTATCACAAAAACACTTACTTCATCCATGCAGATATCTTCTTTAGTGGCTTTCTCCTCATATTTTAATAAAACACAATAAAATTGTTTTGCAAGAGGTCTTTTGAATGCTCTATCATCCATAGTTTTCATAGTATAAAAATTAATTTATAGAATGTGATTAAATATTATAAAAACCTTTTTGTAAATTTAACTATTAAGATTTTTTAATTTCTATCATGTTTGTTTTAAATATCTATAGTTTAGTAATAAAAGAAAGATATATAATATTTTGAATATATTTAAATCCTTCTTGGGGATTTATATTTGTAAATATGGTGTTATCTTTTTCGATTATTACTTTTATGAGGAAATATTAGAAAAATTAGTTGAATAATTAATTCATGTGATTGTTAGAAGGTGTTGGTATGATGTAAATAGACACATGAAATCAAATTTTTTTAAGTTTATTGAATGGATAACTCATTATAAAAAATTGATTAAGAAATAATTGAGATTTGTTAAATATTTAAAAAAATAGATATTTATATTTGATTGCATGAGCAGAAAAGAATAAGACATAAAAAGATTGATTGCTTCACAAGTAAAAATGTTATTTAGATTTCTTTTAGTGCCATATTGGAACAAAACAACTACATTTTGACATGAAGAGATATGTATCTCATAGAAGTGATAATGGTTCATACATACTCAATTTAGAGGAAACATGGTAGCATATAAAATTGGCTGCTAGAATTATTGCAGCAATTGATTAACCTTAAGATGTTATGGTATGATAAACATGAGTAATTCAGGTTGTTTCATCAAGACCAATTGGTTAAAGAGCAGTCATAAAATTTGCTCACTATACATAAGCCAGTTCAACTAGATCAGCAAGATGGACTCCAGGTACATTGACAAATCAATCTAACAGTGCTAGTGGTAAATTCTAAGAACCATAATTGTTGATTGTAACAGATCCACATTTAGTAATAATATTTGAATAAATATTTTATAGGATAGATAAGCAATTGTTGAAGCTTCATACGTTAACATTCCAGTTATTGCTTTATGTAACTCTGATACTCCATTATAATATGTTGACATTCCAATTCCAGTCGGAAATAGAGAAACTAAATCTATTTCAATGATTTATTGGTTATTGGCTAGAGAAGTCAAAATTTTAAGAGGAGAATTAGGATAAAGTATATATTAATAATATTATATTTTATTAGATGAAGAATGGGATGTTTTGGTTGATTTGTTTTATCACAAGGAAATTACAAATGATTAATTGGGTGTTACAGACAATTTAGTCAAATAAGAAGCTGAAGGCGAAGATCACGAATAATAAGTTGATGGTGAAAAGGCAGATAAAGATTGGTGATAAAATATATTAATATTATGTAAAGTACATGTACAAGGAATGTGTTTAAATTTTTTAATTTATTTATTATTTCTTTTATATATGAGTAATACATTTAAGTCTGTAGGAAATAATCTAACTAAAGGTAATGATTTAGGATAAACTGGTTAAAGTTTTGCTGGATCTCAAAATCCGGCTTCATTAAAGGGAAAACTCATGAGTTTAGAAGTAGATTATTAAATAATCTGTTATTTAGGAAACTATTAAAGGTATTTAGGATGAAATGAATTTTCATAAAAAAGAAGTTCAAATTCTTAAATCTGAAAAAGATACTTTAGAATCTGTCTTAAGTATGAAAACATAAGATGTCAAAAAAACTCTTACAAATGAACTTATGAGAATTGAAGAAGAAATGAAAAGGTATCAAGAATTTTATATAATTTAGACATTTTGCTCATTAAAAAGCTGAAAATTCAAGATTATAATAATAAATTACAGCTTTAAAAGGAGAAAAGACTGCACTTTAATAATAATTGTTAGGATTATAAAGAAGGATTGCTGAATTAGAATTATAAGTTGGTTAAGAATAAGCATGAGAATATTAATTATCAAACCTAAAATATTAATAATCAATAAATTTTGTTATCTTTCTTCATTTGCGATTCATATTCCTTATTAATAAGTAAATCCTTCGAAATAAACATCCTATTAAGAATCTGGAGTTTCTACTAAAGGTTATTATAAAAATGCAGGAGCAAAGTTTGATAAATCTTCTAAATGTTAAATTTTAGGAACAATAGGTGGTTATAGTTTTCTTTGTTCAACTAATTACCAATCTATTCCAATAAAAAAATTGTGTTTTTTTATTTCTTAGATCCCATTTGAACCTAATCGAAATGCAGGCTATATTAATAATTATTTTTACATCTTTTGTTAAAAGTCCTTTTAATAAAGATTATGCTTAAAGTGAAAAGCATGGTTTCATCTCTAATGGTTTTTCACATCTATTTTTTAACATTTCCCTTTTATTTTTTGAATAAAATGGAGGCGCGCCACTAAGCATTTCATATATCAAAGCTCCATAACTATAAAAATCAACTACAAAACTATGTCCTTTTTCTAATAAATAATTAATTTAGATATATTACAATATAAAATTTCAGGTGCAACATATTCTGGTGTACCACAAAAGGAAAATGTAATTTCATTTTTCTCATATCCTAATTTTGACAATCCAAAATCAGTAAGAACAACATGTCCATCCTTATCAAGAAGTATATTTTCTGGTTTTAAATCTCTATATATAATTTTTTATTAATGCAATTAATCAAGAGCAATAAGAAGTTCAGCTGCATAAAATTATGTCCATTCTTCACTAAACTTTTATCTTTTTCTAAGATGAAGAAACAGCTCTCCACCTATCATAAAATCCATAACCATATAGAGTCTAGATGGACTTTAAAAAGCATAATGTAATTTAACAGAAAAAGGACTATTTATCAGCGTCATTATTTTTCTTTCTTAAAGTGCTTATTCTTATTATTTCTTTTTTTGTAACAATTTTTTTCTTAGAATCTTTACAGCATACAATTTTTGATCTGTTATTCTTCTTACAAGAAGGACTTTTCCAAATGATCCTCTTCCTATTACTTTGATAAGTTCAAAATCAGAAAGTGTAAGTTTAGTTTTAGAATTTCCGTTTTCGCTTTCAATCAATATTTCTGTAGTTTCCCCAATATTTTCTTCAGCTTCTTCATCATCTAATATTTCACTTTCTATTTATGGTATCTTTGATTGATATTCTGCTGGCTTGTTTTAACACATACCCATTTTAATAAATATATTTTATATTTTATGTCCAAAATATTGTTGTATAAACTATATGTTTCTATTATATTTATAGATGATGTAATAAGTTTATTTTATATACTATTGCAATTTTTTATATGTAATTAATTAAACTTGTGTGATTAGAACATAATACATATGAAATAATTATACATTTCATTCCTTAACTTTAAAATTATTATTATTTTTATACAATCTAATGTTTTAGGATCCAGAAGAGAAAGATATGATTGGCGATCTTCTTAATGGTATTACAAAATACTCAAGCTCTTTTAGATAGTTTTGAAGCTGATAAAACAAAAAAATCATATGCAAACAATAGACCCCCTGCATTAGAAATAAAATAAAACTAAAAAGCATCACCAGTTTACTAATCTAAAGTTTATTCTCCTTAAGTTTAACATAAAGCAAAGTTTAATATTTGTTAATTAAAGTTCATACGATTTAGATTTACGGCTTACAAAAGTGCCTGTTTAGTAAAGTGCTCCAAATTCAGCTTTAAAAGCTAAATCATATGAATGCATGACTTAATTTATTCCAGAAGAAGAAATAAGTTTAGATGGAGATTTAGTAATCAAAAATTCATAATATATAAGATATCTAAGTGTAAAGATTAAAACGGCGCCAGAAGCATTTAAAAATAATTTTAAGAAGGACCTATTGCAATCAAAGATTTAATATTCAATAGATTAGAAAAAGGATTTGTATCTCTGTCAAAGGATGTTTTTGGTAATTATGTCATTTAAAACTTACTTGAAAATGGTATGTATTTTAAATAAAGACAGGGACTCCATAACAATAATCAAAGATGCTTGTAATTTTATAACCTCATACTTTATAACTTGCATTTCATTAATATGGATGTCGAGTATTATAAAAGTTGTTATAAAATGCACATAGAACTCCAGAGTTTTAAGTCATTTTTGACTCCATTAAAGGGAAAGTTAGAGATTTAGTTACAGATTAACATGGAAATCATGTTGTTTAAAAACTTATTCAACTTATGGAAAGTGATGTTAGTCTTTGGGTTTTAGATGGAATTGAAGGTCAAATAAGCAAATTAGTTACAAATTCTTTTGGATGTAGGATTATTTAAAAAGCTGTCTAAATCTCAAATGATAATGCTGAGCGTTAAATGAGAGTTTTACAAGAAATTATGAAGATATCTCAAGAATTATGCACTTCTTAATATGGAAATTATATCATTCAATAATTATTGAAAGATGGTCCAGAAGTTATTTAAATTGAAATCTAATAAATTATTATGGATAAAATAGAAGAATATAGCTTAAATAAATTTGGGAGGTAGTACATTTTATAATTTTAGTAATGTCGTTGATTGTGCAATTAAATGTTCTGATAATAAATTTAAACTAAAAGTTATGGAGCTACTCTTGAGCTAAAAGAATCATCCAGTATTATTTGTTCGATTATCCAAAAATGCATATGGAAATTATGTTGTCTAAAACTTTTTAAAATTTGCAGACAGTGAAATATAAAAGGAGTTATATCTAAAAATTACAAACAATTAATAACTATTGCAAGAAATCTAACAATCTCAATTTGGTAATTAGTATCATTATTATTTTAGGTTAATATGTCTATTAGATGTTGACTTAGAAATTAGAACTTGAAGCTTTTAAATTATGATTCCTGTTTATGATTTTGTTAATATATATTGTAATTAAGATAATACTCAATTTTACTTATCAAATGCTTTATGTTCTAGATAAAATAAAAACAAAATCATTATCCTAATAATTATTTATAAATTATTAAGGGGTGTATCTTTATTTTTAGAAATCTTTTATTATAAAAGATGAATAAAAATTGATGAAAATTTTTATTAATTCTTAGACTAAAACGATTTAGGTTTAAGTTAGATTCCTTTCAGAAAAATAATCTTGATAATAAAATTAGATATTATATTTAATTTCTGTTATATTTGATAATAAAAAAATATAGAATAGGAAAACATTTCAAAAGTTTTAAGAAGGATTTAATAAGAAAAATTTATATTTTAAAGTGTAATAAGATAAGTGATGAGATGTGGAATATAAGAGAAATTTTATAAAATTTACTCAATATATGTGAATAAATTAACTTTGAATTTGTTATTATTAATTAAATGACTGACATCTTAAAGAATCCTAAGGTGAAATAAGTAATACAAGATGTGGTAGGAGGATGTTAGAATTAAACAGCAACAGTATTAGAAATGACACTTGTGTAAGTCTATACAGCAGATGAAGGAAAACATAAATTCCATGGATCTAATATAGCAGGAATATTATGTTTTTTAATTGATAGAAGAGAAGGAAAAGTAAAAAATAATTAATATAATAGTGTTTTTATTTGAGAGTTTATGATCCTGCAAACCTTTAAGTACTTTTTTCAATGGAACTTTGTTATGGAATCAAAGACTTTTGGTAACCTGTTCATGGAATTTCAAATTTTTACAGTATTCCAATTTAGAAAGGTTTCATTGGTTTTTTGTTTCCAAATGTAGATGAAGCAACAAAGATAACATAAAAGATTTGTTCAAATGGTCCAACAAAACAATAATTAGAAGAAATAAATGCTTAGATTGAAAAGGAAGAGAAGGAGAAAAAGAAACTTGAAAAATTAGAGAAAGAGAAGGGGACAGTTAAAGGTGCATTTAAAGATTTTTTTGGATTGAATAAACAAGTTGAGAAAGTATGAAATAAAGAATATATAATGAAGCAAGTATAAGTTAGTGGTCCAACAGGATTCAAAAGAAATCAATTATCATTCAATCTTGACACAGGAGAAATAAATTTAGATGATTTACCACCTGAATTATTGAATGCCTTTAAAAAGGCAGGAATAACAAAAAAGGATTTACAAGATAAAAATTAAGCAAAAGAAATCTTTAAAGCTGTAGCAAATTTCAATGAAAATCCTTCTGCTCCTCCCCCTCCTCCTCCTCCACCACCACCACCTCCTTCTTAAAAGTAATAATAATAAGTATAAATTATAAATTAAATAAAGGGTCCTCCACCACCACCACCTCCTCCTCCTCCAAAAGGAGCTCCACCCCCACCACCACCACCTCCTCCCCCTCCTCCTCCTAGAGGTCCTGCTCCTCCACCACCTCCTAAAGCACCTTCAAGTGGATAATAATAAATTACTCAACCTAATTAATAATAACAATAATAATAAGCTCAAAAATAACCACCTAAAAGTTAATCCAATAGAAATGATTTATTAGCTGAAATTTAATAAGGTGTTAAATTGAAGCATGTTGAAAAAAATGAATGTAAAGTTGAAATTAAAGAAATGGATAAAAAATAATAAGATGATTTAACAAGTTATTTAGCTTAGATGATGGCTTAAAGAAGAGAACAATTAACTAAAAATAGAAAAGATAGTAGTGATAGTCATAATTCTGGTTGGTCTGATGACTGATATATACATAAACATTATATTATGAAAATTATATAATCATAAATCATAAGTATTTATTTTTATATTCTATTCTTTATAAAAATATCATATAATATAATATATATTAATTATATATTAATTTATTAATTAATACTATTTTTATTATAATGTATAATCAATTAGGACTCACATCTAAATGAATATCACAATCTAATTTCTATTTCTTTCTTGAAACTTTCTATTTTCCATGTACAGTATTCTAATGTCTATATAAATCATTTCTTTTTAGATAACTTTTATCACAGTCTTGAAAATTACATCTCAAACTTCTTTAACTTGTTGTGTTTTAAGAATCTCTGCCATCTCTCTCAAAATCACCATAGTTATATTTCAATTTCTAAAAACATTCATCATTTTCAAATTAGCTATTTAAATATGAAGTAGTCCTTGATTAATTTGATTTCGGAATTAAAAATTTAGAAATTTAAGATTATACTTCATTTATCTATTCCTAATGTATTTAACTATCACTTTTTTCTGTCTAATCATTCTAAAGATAATTAAAATTCAATTTATGTTCTTTTATGATAAAAGTATCAATATCCTTTTTGTAAAGATTAAATAAAAATTCTATGACCCAATTTTGAAAAGTTTGAGGTTAATCTTAGTTCATTTGACAATTATTTATGATAACATCAAATAAATGATTTAATATTATAATAATTCCTTTTATTATTTGATAAAATTGTTTCATAATATTTAACAATATTATATACTAAATTAACATAATATAGTATATATTTATTTGTATTAACTTATTATTTTAAAATAAGGCTCTATTTATATTGAAAATATTAATACGATAAATGAAGTAAAGAAGAATTTAAATAAAAAGATGATAATAAAATATAGTAATGATAGTAAAATTACAATTGTCATCTAATCATCTAAGGTAGTAAAACAGTATTAATGGGTTAAGATTATTCTTTTTTAGGGAAAGCATTCCAAAATCTTAAAGTTTCATCTCCAGCTCCAGTCACAATAGTTTCACCATCTGGAGACATTGCTAAAAATAGTACTCTAGAAGTATGACCCATTAAAGTAGTTACCTAGAATAATGAATATTAATAATATACTTTTTATAAAGCAGGATATTTCCAACAAACAATTTAATTCATACTATAACCATGAGTTGATACAAATTCATTAACATTTTTACTAAACATCAAATTACAAACTTATGATCCAGTATCTATCCAATCTAATTATTAAGTAGTAAGAGTATTAAAAAATCTAATAGTTCTATCAGCAGTTCCTCCACCTGATGATAATAAACCATGTCTATGTGGAGACCAAGCAATAGCTTTAACAGCTGCTTAATGTTAATTAAATTTAGCTAATGGAATCTATGAACCCATTCTCCAAACAAATAATTTATTATCATTTCCTCCTGAAGCTAATTAATATTCATCTGGTGACCATTTCAATCCACAAACTTCTTATTTATGACCTTCAAATTTACCAGACTATCTTTTTTATCTTGGATCATGTAATATTATTGATCTATCTTTTGAACCTGAACAAAGAGTCTTATTTATATATATTATTAATTAAATACATTCCCACTCCATGCTAATGATCCAACTCTTGCAGAATGTCCATCTAATATTTATATTTTCTTCATCTTCTCCTAATCATATATATGCACTTCTCCTGAACCAGTCCCTATTGCTAATTAATTTCCTTATGGATTCCATATTAATGAACAAACCATATCATTATTACCAAAATCACAAAACTTAGTTACTCTATTATTATATGCTGACCATAAATATACACATGAAGATAATGCTACTGATAAAACATTCTAAGAACTCCAATCTATTAAATTTAAATAGAAATCATCTTATAATTAAGGAGCATCCAATACTTTAAATGGTACTTTACTTATCTTTCTTTAACTGTATGAATAATCTTAACTATTCTAAAATTACTCTCTATAATCTAATAAATTATTATAGGTTTCCAAAACTCCTGGGTTTATATCCGATAATATTTTACGCTTTTATGGAGTTTAATCATCAAAATGTAATAAATTCTTTGATTCCCAATTTAGTTATTCATTCTGTAAATTATGACCAAAAACATGCATCTTATAAATATCTTTCAAAGTAACATTCCCTTTATCTTTATAATCACTTCCTTTCTATGGTTCTTAATTCTCCTCTTCAATCTCTCTATATTAAAATTCTTCATTCAAATTCTACTTTTATCCACTTCTTAAAGGAATATATCTACAGGTTTTTCCTTATTATATTTATTTCTTAGGAGTACTCTACTCTTCCTATTCNTATCCAATCTAATTATTAAGTAGTAAGAGTATTAAAAAATCTAATAGTTCTATCAGCAGTTCCTCCACCTGATGATAATAAACCATGTCTATGTGGAGACCAAGCAATAGCTTTAACAGCTGCTTAATGTTAATTAAATTTAGCTAATGGAATCTATGAACCCATTCTCCAAACAAATAATTTATTATCATTTCCTCCTGAAGCTAATTAATATTCATCTGGTGACCATTTCAATCCACAAACTTCTTATTTATGACCTTCAAATTTACCAGACTATCTTTTTTATCTTGGATCATGTAATATTATTGATCTATCTTTTGAACCTGAACAAAGAGTCTTATTTATATATATTATTAATTAAATACATTCCCACTCCATGCTAAAGATCCAACTCTTGCAGAATGTCCATCTAATATTTATATTTTCTTCATCTTCTCCTAATCATAAATATGCACTTCTCCTGAACCAGTTCCTATTGCTAATTAATTTCCTTATGGGTTCCATATTAATGAACAAACCATATCATTATTACCAAAATCACAAAACTTAGTTACTCTATTATTATATGCTGACCATAAATATACACATGAAGATAATGCTACTGATAAAACATTCTAAGAACTCCAATCTATTAAATTTAAATAGAAATCATCTTATAATTAAGGAGCATCCAATACTTTAAATGGTACTTTACTTATCTTTCTTTAACTGTATGAATAATCTTAACTATTTTATATTTGTTCTCTATAATCCATTAAACTCTAATAGGTTTCTAAGACTGCTGGATTTATATCTGATAATATTTTTTGTTTTTATGGAGTATGATTATCAAAGTGCAATAAATTCTTTGATTCCCAACTTAACTCTTAACTTTGTAACTGATGTCCAAAAACATGCATCTTATAGATATCTTTCAGTGTAACATTTCCTTAATCTTTGTAATCACTTCCTTTCTATGGCTCTTAATTCTCTTCTTCAATCTCTCTATATTTATATTCTTCATTTAAATTCTATTTCTATCCACTTCTCAAAGGAATATATCTACAGGTTTTTCCTTATTATATTTATTTCTTTGTAATATTCTCCTCTTCCTATCCCATTTACTCTAAACATTTATATATTATTTTTACCTCCTTCTTAACCACTCTCAATATTCACCTTATGTAATAAATTAACCAAATCACTCATATCACAAGTTTTAGATTTTTTTAGATATGAATTTTCTTTATTTTATTTTGATGGCGATATTTATAATTTATCTTCAAAACAAGATACTTCTATATCAATATTTCTCTATTAAAGCATTTTTATAGTATTCGTTGACATTTTTTATAAGTTGTATTTGCAAACAGATATTAATTTAATTTACGTTAAACTTTATTTTTAATCTCACTTAAAAAGGCAAAATAAATATTATTTATAACTTTTTCTTTTATCAATCTTTATTTAGAGTATTATTTAATTATCACTACTATCCTTAATAAAAAATTACAATTTTTTTATCATTTATTTATCGTTAAAATTCTTAAATCATCTTTTTTTATATTCTCTTTCACAGACATTCTATATTACTTTTACTCTTTTCAATTGATAATTAAAATATTTCCCAAATATTCTATGTAGGAATTATGAATTAGAATTTCAGAAATAATCATTAAGATTTAATAAAATTCTCTGTAATTTAAATCAAAATGAACACATTTTTATACATTCTCTATTTCTTAACTTTTATAGATTATTTAATAAAGTAGAGTGTAAACACATTCTTATATTATTTTTGCCAAAAAAATTATTATTTCTAAATATTATTAAATTTAACATTTTACAAGCCTTATTTATTAAGAATTTCTCTATGTAATATTTCTAAAATTCCATAAATTTATCATATTCTATTTAAAATATTTAATACATATAAAATAAATCAAGTTAAGTTATTTTTATACATTAAATTTTTGACGTATCTTTCCATTCCTTCATCAAACAAAAGCATTTTTATAGGAATAAATGAAATGAACTTTTTACTCACTTCAAACAATCTTGTCAATTTATTGAAAATTATAAATTTTGAAAATAATATCAACACTCCCAAAAGAGAAAGCAAAATAATTCCTGCTATCTAAATTTTCATAATAATTATTTACATTCATTAATTTCAAAATTTATTAAGTTTAAATAAACATATCTTGCCTCATAGCTTAATAAAGATCATTAACAATTCCAGAAATTAAATACGGTCCTTCTAAATCATAAAATTAGATAGAAGTTCTTTTCTCAAATTTATTATAATTTAATTCTGTTTTTAAATTATTTGTTATTATAGTCAAAATTGACAATAAACCATTCTTCATATTACCATTGAATAGTTATATGCAAAACGAACTTGTTTGTGCTTATAAATCTTCAGACAACTAATTACATAAGTCTTCTTTTGCTAAGTGATCATAGTACTCTTAAAATTTATCTGACAATATAACTCTTTAATATATAAAGTACTTACTTGTCATAAATAAATTACTATTCTAAGAACTATTTAGTTCTATTTAATCCATCATCAATTACCATAAGCAATTATTAAATAGTATTGTTCTACAAATATGGAAACGAATTTCGGAAAAGCAACACTTCTCTTGCTGAATAAATCGAGGAAATATCAATACTCAAATCTGATAAAGCTTTATAAAATATTGCCACTTCCTTATACCCTTATAAATATTATAGGTTTAATTAAAATGAAATTCCTGACTTCAAAAGTATTAAAATATATATCACTAAATATCCAAACTTCCAACTTAAACCACGAAATTTTAATCTATTTTAAACTTTAGCTCTTTTTTAACTTTGACTCTATTTTTATTTTTCTTTCACAAAACTTTATTCATTATATTTATATCTTACAATAAATTCATGGTCTTCATTAATTTAAGAGATTAATAGTTTATACTATAAAATTTATGTATCTTTTATATCCTATGGCAATTACAAAATTATATTATAGAATCTACTAATCTAATTTGCTATTCCATTAAAGTAATAATAACTTAATAAATAAGGAAATGTAAGAGTCACCATACTAACAATTAGAAGAGTAATTATGATTTTGATATCATGTTCAACCAAAGTGATTGTATTTTCTAATAAATCCTTATGTAGATTAGTTATTATTTGTTTTAAAGGAATATAATTTTTAAATATAAAATAAATATGTGCAGAATCAGCATTTACTCTTCCATTTTATTTAAAGTCTATTAATACATCATATTAAAATTTTAGTAAAGTAATCAAAGCATTTCTTAAGCTCATATTATAACTTTCTTCTTTTGTACTGTTTGTATATTAATAAATTTCAAGTTGATTATCATCCAAAGTAGTTTAGAGTAAAGATTACTAAAATAAATGATTAAAATTAGTGTATATTTAATTGTATCCTACTAAAATTTAAGAGGATGGAAATTAGATAAATTTAACCATTTGTTAATAAGTGATTATTTACAAATGAAAATATAAATTATATTAACTCAACGAAAATATTACCAATAGATTATTTTCAATTGGTTAAAAGCAAAGCTATGAAAAATCTAACACTTCTAAATCATCCATTAATTAATCAATATCTGAGTTAACTTTAATTGTTTGCTATACAAAAAATGCAAAAGTTACAAATAAGCTTAATAGAAATGTTATTATAAATTTATTTGCAATATTGAGCTGCTAATCATAATAATCTGATAAAAAATCTTTTGACAATAAGTTATAAGAATTTGTTTAGGTTTTAATTAAAAATTATTCATCCTAATCTATATTTAATGATTATTATTTTCGTTATCTTGAAGCAAAAGTTTACTTTCTTATAAGCTTCAATTTTGATTATTATTTATTATCTGGACTGTAAATATTTGTGTTATCATCCATTTACTATAACTCAATCAAATCATTTAAATATTATTAATTAAAATCATTTTCTTCATATGGAACATCTATAGGATCTTCCTATGCAATGTTTCCTTATTCAAAAAAATCAAAATCAGATTTAGTTTTAAACTCTTATTATAAGGATATAGGTTCAAGAAAACTTTATTAATAAGTCAATTAAGTAAAGCTTTTTTATTTATAATTAGATCTTCGAATATATTCAAAAATTAATATATAATAAACTGGTTAATTATTTACTAACTTAATTTATTATTTAATTGTTGTTACAAAAGGAAAATCTTATTCTACCTCTGACAATATTAATTCTAAATTTTCTTAATAACTTTCAGTTTCTGAATATGATGGCAAAAACTTTCTTATATTGTAAGTAATATTTTTAAAATCAAATTTTGAAATGTTTAAGGCATTAGATAACGACTCACTTAAACAAGTTATTTTCAATTATGAATTTAATATCATAGCCATAGGTTATTCGAGTGAAACTTGAAAAAAAATTATAAATTTTAATTCATCTATTATTGTAGTATTGAATCCAAAATCAATTGATGACATGTATGTATCATTCTCTTTTGCAATAAAACTTGCATCGAATTATTTAGCATATTTAGATATTCCTGTTTCTATGAATTATTCAATGATTGAATTATGATGTTCTCGAATTCCTGGAGGAATGTAACTTTCAATTTCTAAGGATGTATCTATAGAAAAAATAGTATTATTAGAAATGCCTGAAATTTGAATTCCTTAATCATATTTTGAAATTAGATAGACTAATTTATTCAGATCATAATTATCATGTTAAATTGGATTATTTTAATGAGATAGAAATCTTGCTTAATGAAAATTATTCATAATTTCAGAATAAAAAAATATTAAAATTGACTTATTTTTTAAAGTCTAATGTTCCTAATATTAAAAATTTAAAATTTCTTCAATAATTGTTAATTTATCTAAATAAGCATAATATTTATCAAAGTTTTCTTCTTCTTGTACATTTTATAATAGGTATAATTTCTATTACATTATTTATTTTAATTCTTCAATATGATTATATGATGTCTCTTCAACTTCTATTATGTTATTAAGAGAATCTACAAAGGATTATTGGGATGATTGATTGGCAAACATAATTGTTTATATCAATTTTAAGCACTTTAATTTCATTTTGTTTTTTTTTACTTCATAGTAAACGTTCAAATCTTTCATCTCTGAAAGCAAACATAATGCTTTTTGATATTATTTATTATTAATCTATAAAGAAATATAGATAAGTTTATTTTCTGGCTTTTTGTTGTTTTCAAAATTTTAGAAATAAGTTTTCTCCTTTCTTTTTTCTCTATAATGTGTAATCCGTAAAAAGATTGGAAAAATGACTAAAAGTGAAGATAAATTATTTGCTTAACCTAATATTATTAAAAGTGCATGAAATATTGTATATAATTGAATCGAAGCAATAATGAAATTATTTGCAAAAAATAATTATAGTGAACAGCTCAATAATCCAATCAAATTGAGTGTTATCATATTTGAATCATAATACCAAAACAATGATTACATTATTTATATAATCCAAATAATATGGGTTGGATAGAAAACTTTAGTTTAATGAAAGTTATATGTTTTTATATCTAATGTCTCTAATAAGAAAAGTTGATTGAGAGCTGAGATTATAATTAAGCTTGGTTATAATATAAAACAAATTAGGGATGAGGAAATCTCCATTCCAAGATTAAAAAAATTTGTGACCATTAATCCTCCATATAATGAAATAATTCTTTTACCAGGTATATTAAAAAAAATCCCAAAAATATATAGAATATTTGCGATTAGAAAAAAATATCCAATAATAGTAGAGTCAATATATAATTATGGTCTAGCAAATAAAGATAATATATATAAGTATTAATGTTGTTCTTAAGGTTGTAAATATGATAAGTTTAGCAAAGCTCCAAGAATTTATATAAATAAAACTACTTTATCTGATAATTTTATTTATAAGTCATCTAACTCAGTTAATTTTTCAAACATTTACTTTGTTAATTGGGAAAGCCCTTTGCTCATAAATCTAAATATATAGATAATTAAATAATAATCATTTTAGATAAATTTTAATAGAAAGAATATTTTTTTGTTATTCAATATTTTAAATTCATCAAATATAAGTTTTTTTTAGTTTATATCGTTACAAAGAATCCTTCTAAATTAAAATTATATTACTTACTTGTCACTTCTACATTTTTAAATATAGTTTTTCTTATTTACTAAGCCGATAAAGTCTTAATTAATAACCCAAATTTTATTTATCTTACTTTTCGCTTAGATTTTAAGTTCTTGTTATTTTATAAAACTTTTTATTTTATTCAGAAAACCACATTTATGACTAATTAATATTAAAATAATTTGAATTATCGAAAATAGCATATTTATTTATTATTACATTAAAAATTGCAATTTCTTAATCATATTTATTGATTTATATTTATAATTAATAATCAATATTGATAAATAAGAAATTAAAATTAAAATTTTTAATGAAAGAACATAAAGAAATTTTTTCATTTACTTGAGTTATTGAAATAAAGTCAAAAAGTTTCTTTAAGTATTGTAGTTTTAGCGTTTCTTTCAAAACCATCATCAAATAACATAATTTACAATGGCACTAGATATAAAATTCTTTGAATGATGTATTACCTATACATTAGCCTTTTTCTAATTATTATTGATAAGAACATCACAAAAAAGAATATAACTATTATGATAATTATGCTGTGCATCTATATTTTTATAAGATAAATACAGTTATTTAATCTACCAATTTCTAGGTTTGTAAATCTAAATCTAATTGAATTTCTATATTAAGTTTACGGACAATTTCTGAAACTAAAAAAGCTCCTTCTAATTCCAAATAACTTAATTGCAATCGGTTAGTGAATTAATTTATATCTTTTTCAGTTTATATATAATTAACTATATAAACAAGTATTCCAAGCAATCCTCTTTACATGCCTTAACTCATTACAATAGGACAAATAGCGGATGCTTTTTATCTCATATCATCTAATAATTAATCACAAAGATTATGATCCATTAGATAATTATAATAATCAGCAAACTATTTAGACAAAAAATATCTAAAAATTAATAATGAATTATTTACTATTCAAAATCTATTTTATTTATTGTAAATGCTTATAATTCTGCCAAAGATTAAGTTATTTCTTTAAAAATTAATTGAATATCAGTCTCATTATAATATGGAAAAAAGGCTCTTCCATATAAAATGTTACTTTATGCAAAAACACAAGGTACATCTGTTCCAATATCAGAAACACCTTTATAAAATTTTGCTGTCTCAGGGTATTTGTCTAAATAGTCTTTTACTTGACCATATGATACACTTGCTTAAGTTAATATCGCTATAAATATTATTAATAAAAAGATTCGATGAGAATAATTTGTTACACTTAAAAATGAATTATTCTCTAAAATAAATTTTTTATGATCCTTTTTTTCCAACTTTAATTTAACTTCATCAAAATATTATTCTTTACGATACATGTCAAATTAATATTAAAATAAATTATTGTAATCACTATTAATAATTGTTTATAAAGACAATAGTCTCTAAATATCCTTTGTAAAATACTCTTAACGACAACAAAATAGTAAATTTATAAAATTGGAATGGCTCAATTCTATTCGTGAATAAAAAAAATAACTACACAAAAGAAAAGTTACAAGAAAAGTTAATGACAATATATAGATAGTTTCTAATTTAGATAAAATTATTTTTGATCTATTAATTGTATCTTCTAATATATCTTCATTAATACGTCCAAATTCTGATTTTAAAATATAATAATTTCTATACTAATAATATATATGAGGAGAATCAACAATTACATTTCCATCTAATTAATAAGCCATTTTAGTAATATATTGATAATTTAACATAATTGTTATACAATTTCTTAATGAAACATTAAAATGTTCTCCTGTATTTGAAGAAACATATAATTGAATATCTAAATATGTAGTTTCCAAAAACTATTATAATTATAATTTATTTAAAACAGAATTAACATTTTCTTCCAAACGATCAAAACCTAAAGGCAAATTAGATCTAGGAAATATAATCAATTAATCAAAAGTTTCTGATGAAATTTTACCAGATGCTTTTAAATTATTATAATTAAAAATTGTCCATCTTGTCACTAAAAATGATTCAAAAGGTTAAAAAGCAAAGTTTTTAATTTAAAGCAAATCTATATCAAAAATTAAGTTGGTCAAACTATTATTTGTTGAACTAAATTACTATTATAATATATAAAATTACAGCAATGACAAAAGATAATTAAATTAATAAGCAAACAGAGGTGAATGAAAGAAATATGTTGTGACGTCTTGTCAACCCTTTAATATTTTAAAGTTTTTATAATATTTCGTATTTCTTAAAATAACTCGATTGTCTCAAACCTTTTAAAGATGATATTTTAGATGATTCTATTTATTTGCTTTCAGCTATACTAAATTCTTTTTATGGTTATTATTATTTAATCTAATCATCATTTGAAACAGAAACTGAATAATTGATTTTATTTTAGGTTTAGTAAAAGAGAGGCCTCGATGATTATAATTGATCTTTTAATTATGTTTAATGAATTGTTGAATCAATTATTAGAAGTTCATTAATTTAAGATTTTTATAAAGCATTTTAATTGGAAATCACTAATAATTCGTTTTCATTAATTGAATCATTAGGATCATCAATAAAAACATTTTCAGAAACTGAGAATGCTCCTTAAATCATACTATTATTTGTTTCAGTATAAGTAAATTTTACAGAGTTTTCGTACTTTTTAAAATAATCAAATTTTATAGTGTAAAATAATATCTCTCCATTTAATATTTTTGGAATTATATCTAAAGATGTTTAGTAAGTACTTATTGAATTAGATGTAGCTTCATCTTTATCAACACCTACAACAAAATCAATATTTTCAAAAATTCCTTATAATTCATGTTTTTTAAATAGAGGAATAAATTTAGTTATTATTTAATTTTAAAAATATGAGATTGAATTAATGCTTAGAGCTGTTAATATACTATCTGTTGTAGAAGTAATCATTTTATCTGAATTTAAAATCATAACTAATGGTTAATCGTAGATTGGTTATAAAAAAGTAATAAAATTGATTTCCTCACTTGTAAAACTTACATCTATTGCAAATTCAATTTAATGTAAAGTTCCTTTTGAATAATTATAATAGTAATTAATATCCAATCTTCTCATATATTTTGACTCTCCATTAATTAAGAATTTCTTAACTAATTTTTAATGTTATTCCTTTATTCCTGGAGGAATAATCAAATTAATATTTTATTATAACAAGTTATTATGATTCATTTTGAATAACATTGGAGCATTATTGGATGCTCTTTTTATTAAAATTTCTTAATTATAAGTAGAAATCAAATACACCATTTTGTTTGTAAATACTGAAAAATTTTATTTATCATCAATTTTTATAAGTTATTGCTGAAGTTAATTCGCTTTGGTAAATTCATTTAAAATTTCTGAATACAAAAAGCATAATACATTTTATGTTTTTTAATTTGGAAATACAGAATATTGCTTTTCCAATTAAATTTAAACAATATTTATTTATTCAATATATTAGAAAAGATTGAAAAGAGATATCTTTTCTTTTTATGAAATAATTTATTGAATGCGACATTTATTTTTTAATAAATTAACAATTTTAGTTTAGAGTGTTACATTATAATCTTCAAGTTTCATTAATTATTCTACTGCTTCAGATAAACCCTTTTATGCTTTATTTTAATTTTTTAATTTAGTATCTAAATGTGATAGCCATTCCTTTACCATTAATTCTTTTTTTATTTAAGACAACCAACTAAGTTTTTTTATAGAATGCATAATCATAAGTCCTTCATAATACTTTTATTAATGTGCCAATAAAGAAGCATATAATATTTGATCTTCTTTATGGGTTGGTAGTGAGATTTTTATTGATTTTAGAATCTTTAAATCATAGAAATTAACAATTAAATCTTCCAAAGATTTTGGTAATTACTTCTCCATTCTTTCAAAATTCATAAAAATTATCTTCTGTAAAAATATAAATATTATTAAATCACTTATATAGTTATGAGTTCCTAGTATTAATTCAACTAATCCTAAGTAAATTGTCATAATTTATATATTAAATAAAACTGTTATTAAAATCACACTTCCTTTTGGAAATTATAATAATAATTACAGAAGAGTTATTAATGAATTGAAAATTGCCAATGATTAAATGATAATAACATTGAAATTATATTTAGACAAATACATCAAAGCAATGTTTCCTATGACAATAATATAATTTAATATAGATTTGGTTGGATTGAAAATGCTACGAGAGTCAAAATTCAATGTACCTTAAGCAAATATCTATTCAAAAATATTTATGAAAATCAGCATAATTTATGATAAATAATCCATAGAACCTCTTGAGATTTCAAAAAAGAAATTAATTAAACCTAAATTTAGTAATTAGCCAAAAATGTTTATCGTTCTTGAAAATATGCATTACACTTAAGAAGATATTAAGTATATAAAACATATAGCTAAAATTACATATTGAATATAGTCTAATGATAATACAATTTAAGGTCTTGCAATGATGCAAAAGACATAAGTATATGCGTACATCTAATTTTAAAATATATATGAAAAGTTCCTGAAAGAAGCTATTATCATTATTGCATGGGTAAAATAATTATTCATCTTTATTGAATGATAAACAAAGTCTAAGTAATTAAACAGTATTTTATTTCTGATTTAGAGCAAACTACTGCTCTAGTTTGGACTTTCCATTAATGATTGTAATATAAATAAATAATGAAAAAACTTTAAAATGATAATGATTATGAAATTTAAACAAATTCATATTCAAGAAAATAATTAATATATAATTCGCAGTTTTGACTATTTATCAATAATTGGAAGATTAGATTTTTAATTAATATTCATCCATCAAACTATGGAAATTTAGGTAGAATCATATTTTTGATGAAAATGATTGATGATCTCAAAGAAGTAAAGAATTCATAATATATAATTAATTGATACCACAAAAACTTAGAATATTTTATTTAACGTTAAGATGATGTTCAAAGTCTTAATAAAAGTAGATTAGTTGGATAATAAATTATTCCTAAAATATCATATATTCATATCTAATATAATAAATATATATTTAATACTAATTTATGATATATTTTTATTATAATTGTAAATTTATAATGTATTTGAGATCTTAATGAACTTTGAGCCTAATATTTGTTTTAATACCTTATATAATTTTTTTAAACTAAAAATAATTAAAGCTGGCAAGTTATTTTCAACAATTTTTTAACATATTTTTTTTTATCTTTTGTATCGAATACATGTAAGATTTTGAATTTTCATAAAAAAGTCATCAAATTTCATTTAGAAGTTACATTAAATAAAAAACAAATTTGAGAGTTTATAATCAAATTAATGAGTTTCTTTAGTAAATGGATTCAATTCATAGATTTAATTAAATAAACTGCTCATTCGATTTAATTAAGAATTATAGAGCAAGTGCCATAATTTTTATATCATTAATATAATATTTTCTAATATAGTGATAATTAAATTATTAAGCATTTTAGGATGAAAAGCGACATCAGATTTGATTAACTAAAACTTGATTACTTATAAGGAAATAGTTCTAAAATATTAAAATCAGAATAAGACTCTACTTAACCTTCATAAACTCTAATATTTTAAGGAAATCTTGTTGAAAATAAAACAGACAGATAATTATCTCCAATAATAAAAAGTAATAGGTTAAGACATAATTTAAAACAATGTCAGTCTCTTGTTCTTGATAATGAACCAGATCTTGAAGAATTTTCTATTTGGGGAGATATAGAAGAATTGCCTGTCGGAAATGATAAACATAACAATATAGTTTCTTTTTTGGAATTATATAAATATCGATATGAAAAAACAACTAAGAAACCAGTTTCTTGTTATAATGTTATATTAATGACAAAAAAGTAAAATTATACATAAAGTTTAGACTAATAAATAGACATTCAATAGCTAGATTAAAATACTATGGGATTAACAAAATATAATGGATAGATTTTAGGGATTGGAGTAGATCAGACAATCTTAATTCTTTGTGATATTTTAATTTGTTTTAGATTTTGCTCTTTAATAGATAATTAATATAAATTACATGGGAAATATGTGTGAATATCATGCAAGAAATGTATAATAGATTGTTTAATAAAAAGATAAACAATGAATAAAATCTTTAACCAAAGTTATTAGCATAACATAGATTCTAAGATATAGGAATATACTTAGATACAGGAGATATAAAAAATGAAGAAGTGGATGTTATTGTGGCATAGACAGATTTAAATTTAAAAGTATAAACTATTCATAAAATAAGCTTCCAGAATATTTAATAAATAATGTATCACCTTAAACAAAATAATAATTGCTAAAATATATTTAATAGATTAGAGATAAATAAGTAGTATCTCATGGTGAGGTTGTACATTCTCATGCTGCAGAAGTATAATAAATGTATTATAATAATTAGTTAGAATTTGATTTTGTATTTTATTGTATATTACCAAATGAAGATGATGAACCAATGAAATTAGCTAGAAATCATAATCCTAAAAATATAAATTTAAAGTTACCAAAAAATGCTCCTTAAAAATATTAGAAATAATTTATTTATGATTGCATGATGACTTGTCTTAAAGTAGCAGAAGAAATGGAAATTACTTCAATTTGTTTTCCAGTAATGAAATCAACTAAATTTACTATATCTACAATTGCAACAATGCAAATGATTGCAGTTAAGAATTTTTTAGAAGAAAATGTTACTAAAATAAAGTTTATTAGTTAAGTTAGATTTTGTATTTAAGATGATAAAGATTAGGAATTATTCAAATGGGCTTTTGATAAAGTTTTTATGGACACAGATGATAGTAGTGAAGCTAGTGATGAAGATTCTCTTAATAATAATAGTGGAAATAGTGGAAGTGGAAGTGCAGGAAATTCATTAAGTAAAAATGTAATATTTAATTTAATATAATAAGGCATTATTTGAATTATAACCAACTGTTAAAAAACCATAACAAAAGAATTTTGAGGAGGATGAATTTGTCAAAAGTTTTGGAGCCAATTATTATGATAAATTTGAAAGTCCTTAAAGAGTTGGTAGAAAAATTTCTATTTGATAATATAAATACTTTTATATATAAATTATTTTATATATGGAATTAAAAAATGAATAGATGAGCGACTTAATTGAAGATAATGGATTTAGAGATATTGATGTTACTAATTGGTCTGAACTTGTAGGTATAGTTTTTATCTAAATGATTATTTAGCTACTTTAATTTTAAGCATCATTGCTAATATTTTATTATTTATTATTTTTTAGAGAATCTAAAATTTGTTTATTTGGAAAAAAGAAGACCCTAAAAATAATCCATCTAAAATGCTAAGTGTAAATTGCTTATTAGTAATAACGATATTATGTAAATAAAATAATTATTAAAGTTAAGATCTTTTCATTATATTATTCAATAGCAGGTTTCTTTTTTAGTTAATTTTGGAATTGGAAATGTGATGAAAGAAATACTTTAACTATTTCACCATCATTTTACATAATAATTTAAATTTGTTAAGCATAAACTTTGAATTTCATATTTTGTTTTTGTAGCAATTTATGGCTTAAGTTATGGAGAATGAAATTAAGAATTGATCAAAATAAAAAATTGCTAAGCTTAACCAAGATTTTATAAATATATCTTTCCATCTTAATTGTTACAATACCAATACTTACCTTAGTTTCATTAATTTTAGGAATATATATTAGTAACATACGAGAATATGTTTTGGGTGCTTTAACTTTATTAAGCACTTTTTCATTTGCATTTATTATTCTGATATTATATTCTAAACTCAAAGATTAATATAGTGTTGGTGATCATTACAGATCGGTAAATTTTTAATAAATATTTTAGAGATTAAAATATTTATTAATTGGAATAATAATTTGTGCTCTTTTTAGGCCTACTTTTAATTTTTTATTTTCTCAAAATTTTTTTTGGAAATTGAAATCAGGAAAAATATGTAATGATAATGAGGAAATTTATACATTACCTGATCAAGGTATTAATTGGTATGAAATTTATAGATTTTTATATAGGGCTATTTTTTAATTCTTTTATTCATCTATAAACGATTTCATTCCTATTTGTATATTATCATTATTATTTTCTCCTAATTTATCTAGGAGAAAAACTTTAGTAAATGTAAGCGATGGATGGGATTCAAATTTAGAGTGATTAATTTAAAAACTTTTTTTTAATATAATGTAATTTTATAATCAAATAAATACAAACTTTACTAAGCCAAAATGGATTCTCACCATCACTAAAAAAAGATTAATATTTATTATATTATAAATCTTAGAATTAAAAATGTGTCTTTGATTACAAAGAATTTATGAATAATATTGAAAGTAAATTATATATTTCCCAATTAAATTACATTAATTTTAAATAATAGATCATAAACAATCTTAATTTTCCCATTCAAATAATTAAAAATTTCACATGAATTAGTTGATGAATAGAAAAAGGCAAAATTCCAAAAAACTACTTTTATAAATATAAATTAGAGTACTCAAGCTATTCAATATAGAAATTAAATTATTAATTATTTATCTAAAAATAATATATGTAATCTTAATTTTTATAATAAAATGCTTTTAAAAATTAAATCACAAGTAATTATAATTGTATTCATCAGATAAATAATGAATTTTAAAATCTAGGAAAAACATACTAATGATCTGCACGAGTAAATGCAAATTAAAAATTATATTATTATTATTATATAAAAGTTAGTAAAGACATAAATCTAAATTTCAGATATTATTTATTTTAATGAAAAATTTATTATTTATTAATCAGAATAACTATTTTGAAGAAATTTTAATTTAAATCTTGTTCACCCTTTAAGCGACAGGAATTGGCTTATATTTAGATTCACTCATTTCAATTATATATAATTGCAGTTTTATTGTAGCTTTCGTTATTTTAGAATTTTAATACCCTAAAGCAACATTATTTCGATTTTGGTATCATCATCATTTTCATATTGCTTTGCCAATACTGATCTAAAATTAATAATTGAATATTACAAGCTTATTTAATGTACTCCTTATCGTAATACTTGCATTACTACTTTTATTCTATACAGAAAAAATTGGAGAAATTCAAATATATAAGACCACAAAAATATTTAATTACACTTTTATCATGATAGCATTTTCAATACACCATTTAAATCATTTTATATTTATCATTTGTATAATTGTTTATGATTGTCTTATCATTCTGTAAGTTTTTGGATTAAGGATTGTCACAAATTAAGAATTTATCAAATTTTAAATTCTAACTTTAATATCAATGACTCGTTTAATTGTGTTTTTAATGTTGTTCTTAATTTAAATCAAAAACTTATTATTAATTGTTCCTTTGCTTTTATTTTTATTAATTCAAATATTAGATAGATACATTCATTATTAAATTCAAGATATCTTGCAATAGCAACCATATAAATTAAGTTCAATGATATTATTGCAATTTACTTATTAATTAGGCCTATATATTGGATTATTATATATATCTCAAATACTTGTAACACATTCAAAAGATTGCGATAATTTAGATTGTTTTTGTAATAAAGATTTTTCTATAAATTAATAAGAAACCTGGAAAAGTCCTAAGACAATGTTAAAATAAAGTCTTAATGAAATACTTTGTGAAATTCTTAGATAATATAAATTCTAATAAATGGCCGATTCTGAAGAATATGTAAATTTTTTAATTTAATTTTTAAGCTTCTCTTATTGAGTCGAATAGAAATTGAATACAGAAATGATAAACTTTTTGAAACTTTAATAAGAAGTTCTAAACTAAGTAAGACAACTTTTTATGGTTATACAATTTTTCCTTATTAATTTAGAATATAATATCATCGTGATATCTTTTATCATAAACTATAGTCTAAAATTGAGGGTGTTAGACTTAATAGTTTTATTTATTATACATATTGTAACTTAGTAGAATAGGTTGGACAATTGATTGTGCAATTGTTGAATCAAAAATAATAGATTTTGACCATGTTTATCATTCAATATTAGAATCCAATTTATTATTTATATCACAATAGATTGTTTCACTATATAAGTTAATATGAAAAATGTGAATCTTTATTACAAAAAATTCTTCTCTTAAATCCGTAATCTTTGGTTACACAGAATTTAGTTAGAGCACTTTATTCAATGATTACATTTTAAGAAGAAAAATTAAACTAAATTTAAATAAATCATAATCTGTTAAGTGTTTAAATCGATTCTCTATGGGCAATTTTAAATGATAGATAATGTTGTTATGTATAATGCAAATATGAAAAAGGATTAGTAATGCTTAATCATTCAGTACTATTCACATAATTGATGGAAGGTAAACTTAATTGAATTATTTTTAGAAAATGGTATTAAGTCTGACTTTGTGGGAGAGTACATCGATAAATTAATATCTAGTCCATTTAAAGAAGTTCATTAAAGATTTTTAAATAGATTAATAAATGAAGGTAAACCTAGATTGTTAAACAATGGAATTTAATAGTTTTTTATTAATACTAATAGAGGTTACATGAAATAAATTGATAGTTTGGTCAGACTTGGTCAAAGTATGGAATATCTCACGTTTATGACAATAATGGGGTATAAATAAGAAGAAACATGTGGAAAGATTTTATTGAGTAATTTTGGAACTATTTATTCGTATTCAGAATTAGCTGTTTAATAGTTAAATCTTGATAAAATCTTGAAATTGCATCACAAAATAAATATAAATATGAAATTTTGTATACCTTAATCTTAAAATTTAAATGAATTGAATGAAGGATTTATTTTAATTCCAAAGATAAATTTAGCCCAGAAAGATGAATAATCTAATAAAATTTCAACTACTAAATTTGATTAAGCATCTTTTTATAAATATTATCTCAAATATCCCAAAAAATGCTTTGTGTTTTTTTCAATATATAAATTTAGTACAACATAATATGATGATGGTAATTTATAATATGAAACATTGTAAATTTATTAATCAAATGAAATTAAAGATATTGAAATAAAAATGTTAGCACTTGAATTAATGTTAAAATAAATTATGCTTAATAATAACATTTAAACAGATGCTTATATTACAAGTTACACTTCATTTAAATCTATTATTCCAGAAACCAAAAATTTTAAATAACATAGCCCTAAAAGTAATTCTGAAATACAAGAAATTAACGATCAAGATTTTATTATCAGTAATGAAAGTATCCATATTTAGCAAGAACCTTAGAATGTCTAAATGTATCAATTCATAGGCTTAGAATAAAATTAAATACAAATAGATTAAAAAAATAATTAAATTAATCATTCATCATTTATTGCAAATTCTTTTTAAATTCAAGATTAATTACTATCAAGTAGAAGATTTAATGATTTTAGTGTAAGAGATTCTAAAAGAGAAAGTTAACAATTAATTCATTAAAATTTAGGGAATCTTTAGAATATAAATCATCAAGAGAAAGTCCTTTAAGAAGAGGACGAAAATTAAGATGTTGATTCACCAGAAGAAACTAAAGAGTATATATAAATGGAAGTTTCCATAAAAGATATTAATGGCCAGTATTTAAAAGAATAAATTGATTGGATAAGATCCTTATTAAAATTAAACAAAAATTAATTAGAAAAATAAAAAAAACTTAGAAAAAGTATTCACAAAAAAGGATTTCATAAGAAATTAACTTTAGAGTAGTAGTCATCAACAATAAAAAGTACAGATTCATAAAAAGGATTGATTAATCATGCAATAAATGGCATGATATAATCAAATTCTCACTAATTTTATAGCATATTTATTATTGCACTAATTTATATTATTCTTCTACTTATTTTAATTATTTTGAGCATAATTTAATTGCAGAAAGAACTTCATCACATTTACTTAGATTCTAGTGCTGGATAATTTTCAATAACTTTACTTTAGAATATAAATCAAATGGAAATTGCAATTCATTTACTATCAACCAATTCTACTTTTGGAGCACCATAATTTTACATTTACAATTCTACTGATGATTATATTCATTATGTTCGAACTGTGAATAATCGTCAATATATAAATCCTGAATTTTTATAAAAATTAGAATATACACCAATTAAAATTAATCATACATTTTCTAATTATGGAGTTTATGAATATATCACATTTAATACAAGACGCTATTTAGTTGATTCTTTGCCTTTAGTTTTTCATAGAATATCTGAAGTAGTAGAATTTAGAGATTCTAAATTTAATATCTTTCATATGGAAGAAAGTTATTTCACTTTAAATTATCCAACATACTTTAATTTATCCGCAAATCTTATAAATTCTACAGATTAAGAAATGAATTAAACAAAAGATGCTGCTTTAAATATAGCCTTAATTTATGTCATTACAGGTTTTTCTTCTTGTATGATTATTGTGATCTTCATTGGTTTAGCTGAAATTTAAATTGCAAAATGGAGAGTTTCCATTGTTAGAACTTATTTCTTATTCTAAAATTTACAATCATCCATTATTGAATAAGAAAATGAGATTCTTAATTTTCTCACTATTGATGAATTATAACACATGAAATGCAATATTATCAAATTAGATAAATAAACATAATAAGTCTTAAAAAATGAAGAAAGACTTCTTAATAAAAAATTAAAATAATCTTTTTGGGCCAAACAATTAATTTTAATTATTCTCTTAGGAACTTTAGAATTATTATATTTTATTCCTTATTATAAAATATATTAAAGTTCTGTAAATCAATTGATTTCATTTCATGAAGATCTCTATAAGTTAGGACTTACTTAACTTTCATTTAGTAATAAATTAGTTTATTTTATTCAATAATATGCTAATCCTTATAATAATGTTAATCCTATAATATTTAATTAATTTGATACATGGTTTTAAAATTATTAAGATTAATATTTATTTGAACTTCCATTTGATGAATTATTTGATGCCACATCATTCATTAATATTGTTAATGATAACATTTGTGAAATTGATGAGATTGTACCTATGAATAATCTTGGATATAAATGTCCATACATATTATAAGATGGTTATTCAAAATTTGTTGTCTCAAGTGAAAATCTATTAAATGTTATGTAATCAGAATTTTCCAATTTTTCTTTGGGACTTAAACAAATAATGAATTAAAATGACTTTTTAGAGATTATTATAGCTTATGGTTTTGTATTCCCCTAGTTTAATAAAAATAGAGATAAATTATATGAAAATTAAAAATATAATAATGAAAAATCTAATACATAGGCAATATTAATGGCTGTTTTTGTTATGATCGCATTGACAATTGTCTTTATTGCAATTATTTTTATCATTTCTAAATAATTTCTAGCAATAATCAAAACTGTTAAATAAACTCTTTTGCTTTTCTCAAAAGATCAAATTGCCTAGAATAAACATTTAGTACAAATTTTGAGTAAAGAAGTAACTTTTGATTGAATTTATTTGTTAAATAAGTAATTTTACTTTTATTCATAAATATCAATTAATACTAATTATTATTTTGATGAAAATATTAAATTTTACTTATATTCTATACTAAAAATATATATAATTAGCTATCAAAAAATATTTATTCTGACTTTCAATTATATTTAAATGTAAAATAAAGATCAAATTTTTAAATAAAAATTTTGTTTGTAAATAAATCAATATTTAAATATTTAATGATTAAATTTGATAAGCTTTGGTTAAAAAACATAAAAGAATGACTTCTTGAGACGAAATGATTTAGCTTTTATTTATAATTATAATTTAAAAAATTATTTTATTATTTTCATCTAATAACATGTAAAATAAAACAGAAAACTATGATTTACTTTATAAGCTAGTTTTAATTGGTACTAGTATTTTCTATTGAAAGGGGATTCTGGTGTTGGAAAAACCAATATTCTCAATTAATTTACAAGAAGTGAATTCTTACAAGATTCTAAAACAACAATAGGAGTAAATTATTGAGTTTATTATTTAAAATAGGTTGAGTTTGCTTCTAAAAATGTTACAATTGATGATAAAACTATAAAAGCATAGATTTGGGATACAGCTGGCCAAGAGAGATACAGAGCTATAACATCAGCTTATTATAGAGGAGCAGTTGGGGCCATGATTATATATGATATTACCAAATAATTGACTTTCGAAAATGTTGATAAATGGATGAGAGTATTTGTTTTTACAATAAATAAGGAATTAAAAGAAAATGCAGATTCTTCTTTATAAATTATGATCGTAGGAAATAAAATTGATTAAAGAAATCTAAGATAAGTGGCTACTGATTGTGCTGTTGCTTATGCTTAACGATATGGAGTGGCTTTTATTGAAACAAGTGCAAAAGATGGAACTAATATAGAAGAGGCCTTTAAAAATATTTTACAATGTATAAATTAAAATCTAATCTAAAAGAAATATATAAATCATCAAAGGTAGTTAAACCAACTCCATAACCTTCTAAGTTTGTCATGGCAAATACAGATGTGGTTAAAACAGAAAAATCTTCAAGTTGTTGTTGATTTTGAAGAAAAAATTTATTTGTTATTTACAATTAAATTATCATTTAAAATGATATTTAGATTCATAATATCTCAGATGAAATAATTGTGAAGTTTACATATATTTTTATTTCTTCTAAAACTTAAGAGATTTTAGAAATTTTGATTAATTTTATAAATTTTTGATTTTGTTATTTTGAATAGAAGTATTTCATGTTAAAAAAAATATGAGAATTAACATGTTATAAAATAATTTTGATAATTGATTAATAAATCTGTAAATCTTATTCTTTAGAATTATTATTGATAATAATTTATTAACCATAATAATTGATTAAATTCTTGATGTTCCAAATACTTAAGATCATTGGTGATTAAAGAAACAAATATGGGAAAATAGATTTTTTTTAAATTAAATGAAATAGAATTATAGTTATTCTACTGATTATTTGATACATTAATAAATTATAGGAGGTATAGAGATAAATACTTAACTAATTTAAACGAATGATTAAAGAGAATGGATTATCTTTAAAGAAAGCTGTAAAGATTATCTTAACAAAATTAATGAACTGATGAGTAAAGAATATAAAATTTGAATAATAAAAAAAAAGGGATGTTATCCTATTTTTATTGATGTTATGATAATCGGATCAATTTCTGCTGGCGATGAATTGAGCAGTGGTGGATAATTTTTCACTGATGTGCTCTTAGAGTCTGTCAACAATTTCTTATTAAGCAGCTCTAAATGATAATTATTGTAAGGATACCTTTCAGCAGTTTAAGTTTCATAGATTTCTGATTAGACTGCAAACCATGCTTATTATCCAGCAAGTCTTTCTTCGCTATTTTCTAATTCAAGAGTATGGAATTCGATCCATGATTAAGCATCTTCAATAGTATCTTTTTATTCTTAGATTTAGACTTCCAATTAAGCTTTTCTTTCAACCAATCTTGTATGTTCATTGCTCAAATGAACACTGAATTCAGCCCAATGAGCAGCTTATCTTTCTTCAACATCCTATTTATTTAGATTAAATAAATACAGTTTTAGCAGCTTTTTCAGATACTAATTATTATCTGATTTCACTTAAGAGTTAAGCAATTTTGGTTAAAGCTTTTTAATTGACTCCATGTGTAGCTAATTCAGTAAGAGCTGTAATGACTGGCTATAAGATAATAAATATAGTAAATAATACTTGTAACAAGGCAGTGTGTGAAGTGTTATCAGAGAGTTTCTTGTGAAGTGTGTCATATTTGCTTTTTAATTAAGCAAATGAAGCTCCAAGACTTAAATGTTAGACAAGTTTGGCAGCATCATCGATGGCATCAATAACATCATCAATAGCAGCAACCTTAGCAACAAAGGTTTCATGTTATTGATTTCTAGTGGCTTCCTCTCTAGCATAGGTAGCTTCGTTGTTAGCAATATCTTAGATTGTAACTCTAATATCTTCTTCAGAGACAGCAAGAGCTTCAATAGTATCATCTCTCAATTAAGTGTTTGAGGTAATTTAGTTTTAATGATACAAGATTTCCTTTTCTAAGTCTTCAACGATCTACTATATTTTATAATTCTTACTCTATTATTAGTTGTGGTGTCAAGTTCAAATGCGTGGTCATGATCATTTTAGTCTTAAACAAGGCCAGCACCAACACCATTTAATAACATATTAACTTCATTGGCTGGAGTTTAGGCTTATAAATGAGCCTTTATGGCACTCAAGACAACGTGTCCAAATGGATCAGCATTAATTTAAGCTAATGTGGTATGGGTATCTAAGAACTTGGCAGCAGTCACAGCAAGAACCAAAGCTAAGAGAGCTATTTTTTACATTTTTAATATTAATTTAAAAACGGATCGAACTCTTTATTTATACTCATTTTTCAATATAATTTTATATTATTAATATTCCTCTCCTCTTTATTCACTTTCTTATTCACTCTTTCTTCACTCCCCAATCATATACTATTATTATCAAATCTATCAATTGCACTAACTTTATATTTATAACTTTATTTTATTTTTTATACATATCTATCCAACATTCACAATAACAAAATTTCATATTAAATTCAACCCTATTTTATTCTCTACTCTTATCCATACCTTCTTCTCCCAAAACCCCAACAATCTCTTTCTGCATTCTAATCTTCCATTCCTTCTCTTTTTATTTATTATCCCTTTTACCCATAGAAAGAAGGAAAAACCCATTCTTATTAATTAATTGAATTCCCATATCTATCCATTCTCTCTCTCTCTCTCTACATTCCTATATTTCCTTCATTATCTCGTACATAATAACCAGGAACTCGATGCTAATTATACATTCCAAAATCAGATTAACGCTCATATCTCTATCCCTCAGAATCAAAACATGGAAATCTTCCATACTCTTAAGGAAATATATTTTTCTCCTTTAATATAACAGACTATCTAACATAACTTACTACTCCTCTAGGCACTTACTCATAATCTCTAATTGGATAAACTCTATCTTTATAATCTCTTCTTTCTTCCATCCAATTATTTCTTTTATGAAATATTGGCTCTGGGATTCCTCTCCTAAACTCATTTAGTATTCCAGGCGGAGCCATTCTTCTATAGTCTTGATGAACTAAACCAAAACCTTATTTATCCATTTATCTAAAATCTTAAGGGTAAAAACCTATCTCTGGTTATTAATAATCTTAAGATAACCCTCTTAAACCCTAAACATATCCTCTCTAAGGTCCTCTCAAACTTTAAGCACTAATTCTGTGCTCTAAAGGTTGTACATTAATTTATGTTGTATTCTCAGGAACAGCCTTGTATATATTATTATCTGTGAATATTGTATTATATGGAACACTATCAAATCGCTACGTACATATATATGATTAAGGATTCATAATTGATCCATGTTTTTAATTGACCTTTAATCTATTATCTTACCATCTCCCTTCAGGAAACTAAAACTAATGCTGTTATTCAGGAAATCTTTGTATTTAATCTTAGTTCATATTTGCCTTCTATTTATTTTCAGGTCTCGCAAGCTATTCTTATGCTTTCCCATAATAAACCTCCAATTTACGATTATTCTCTGGTGACTTTTACAGAAATTCTAATTCCTATCCAGTGGGTTTTATTTATCCTTTTGAAAACTTCTCTATTTCTATTGGCTGTGAAGGAGCAATATACATTTTATAAAATAAATATTAGGATCAGTTAGTAATTAATTATATAAATTATTATAAGTTTCAACAAAATTTAGGTTGTCTTCTCACTTTTATGTCTAATTATTCTAATATATTTACTTATCTTCCAGAATTCATCCTTATTAGGTTTGGATTTCTCTCTTTTAAAATAAACATCACTATTACTATCTAATTATCTTATCTATTTCTTAAAAAAACATTCTCTTTAAATTAGAATAAAAAATCGTATCTTTTGAAACAAATGAGAATCATTTTTGTTAAATTTCTATTCCAATTTTTCATTTAATTTTTACTATATCAATTTGATTCCAAAGCCTAATTTAATAATTTAAGCGTTGGAAATTCTTCAATCTAGATATTTTTAATACAAAGATTTTAAAATTATTATTTTTGAACTTCAAATCGATTCTCAACATTTATTAATTTCTATAAATAAATATGAAATAATAACCTAATTATTAAACTTTCACAAGTATTTTTGATCTAGAGCAGTCAAAAACATTTTGGGAACCATTGTAATAACCACTTCAGGCAGAGCGATTACTTTACTAAGGAAAATTCTTTGAATTCATTGGAAATGTATGGGTTGAAGAACATTATGAACTTTATCCAGAAATACTATGTAAAGGTTAATTTTATATGAAATTACCTGGAATGTAAATCAGAAGACTCAAACCAAATGAAACTTATGGTCCCCATAAATATGGATTAGGTTTATTAAAAGGACCTTACAGGTTGTTGTTATATACCGAATCAGTTGAATAGCTAAATTAATGGTATTAAGTCCATAGAGTTTAGGCATGACTACTTGAAAAGACTTTGTCTATTGCCCAATTTTAACAAACGTCATAAAGTTGTTAATAAGATCAAGAATTCCCTTAATTTTTATGATTGCTACAAATGTATTAATGGGCAGCAATATTAAGTCAAAATTCTCGAAAAATCTTAAATAATTCAAACAAAACACTTCATAAAAGAAATTTAAATTTTGCGTCGTTTAAATCACCCTTAAATCTAAAAATTATTAGAAGTTTATGAAGACAGCAATACTGTCTATATTTTATTTGATAAATTCTTAGGTCACTCGCTTAAAACTAAATTGCCAGATTATTGGAAGTAATTTAGATATTTAATATATAGTTTAACAGAAAAACAATAAGCTGAGGTATGTTTCAAGTTGTTAAATGCCTTAGCACATATACATTAAAAAAATATCATTCACAAGGATATAAGACCAGAGAACATTATCTAAATAAATAATTAATTAAATAATCTCATTATTGCTAACTTTGCAAGTGCTGATTCAAAAGAAAAATGCCAAAAAAGAAAAGTATTTAACCCAGGTTTCATGGCTCCTGAATTATTTCAAAATAGAAACTTTGATGATAAAATAGATATATTCTCTTTAGGTGTTATATTTTATGGTATCCTCTACTGTAAATATCCTTTCGAAGGAAAAGACTTTAGGGATACTGCGACATTAAATGAAAAATGTGAAATAAATTTTGAATACTCAAAGAAATTATCTTCCTCAGCCATTGAATTACTATAGGGAATGCTAAAGAAAGATCCAAATTAGAGGTTAAATTCATAAACTGCATTAAAACATCATTGGTTTATAAATGCCAAAAGTAAAGAATAAATGAAAGGAAAATTACTTGGAGCTCCTTCACTTTCAACTATCCAAGAAAAATCAGAAATCGATATTTCAATGTAGGATCGATAATTAAATAAATAATAATCTAAATTAAGAGCTAAATCTTTAGATACATTATTCATTTAGGATGCAAATGAAGTAGAATAAATTCCTTTACATCAGAAAATTCAAAAAATGACAATTATTCAATTTAATCCATCTAAATTTAATCATTGATTTATAAATTTTATTTTTATTTTTATCAAAATATAAATTCTCATCTTTTTTTCTTTTATGTTTAAATGAGAAATTTTATTTAATCCAAAAATTTGAATGGACTTTTATAATATAATTTTATATAAAATTAAAACATCATCTAGCTTACTTTCCAAATCACATAATATCTAAGTAACAAATTATAATATTTCAGTTTTTTTAAAGATACTAAGAAAATTTTTGATTTGGATTCAATGATCTTTTAAGATTTTCCAGAAAATTTATAAATTTTAATGCTATCAACAAAAATAAGATTATCCACAATTGTACACACATTACAAGTTAAATTTCTTCCAAATTTTTTTTCGGCTGTGAATTAAATTGAATTATATAATTAAAGTATTCAGCTTTCTATATAAAGACTTCATTGTAACCATATTTAAGAATATTTTTTTCAAATTCTTTGTTTGTTATTAAAATTTTAAGCATCAAGATTGGCCCAATTTATAATTATAGTAAACTAGCTATTAAAGTTTTAATATTGGATTTTTTCAGTGTATTTTCATGAATGATTATTCTATTTGAATTTTAGAGTAATTAATAATCTATTTTTTTGAGGCAAATAATTATTATAAATAATGATTATTAATAATTTCAATAAGAATAATTTTTTTCGGAATTTTAAATTCAATTTATTAAATTAACATATTTTTAATCTTCCCAAATGTAATTATAAAATTTTAAAAGTATAAGAGTGAAATTTATATTAATTTTCATTTTTTATTGTTATTTTAAGTTTTAGCCCTTAAATAACGCTAGTAGCTAGAATATTATTCTCAGATTTAATAGATGAATCAATAATTAGTTTGATTAGTTTGGCATACATCATAATATAGAATGGCAGTAGTAGAGATAATAACTTTAGAGATTCAAATCCAACTTATTGTTAAATAAAAGCTTATTTATCTAATTTTTAAATTTTATCTAGTACTGCTTGGACATCAATAATATGCTACACATTATATATGTATAATTTAATAATATTAACTTTAATTTTAAGGAGAATTTGAAAGCATAAAGCAGATTTTATAAATAAAGCATAAGTGTTTGCATTATTTGTATATCCCATAATATTGTGTATATGCTGGGTGATTTTAATCTTAACATATTATCCTGTAGCCTGGATTGGTTTAGTATAATCAATAAGTTGGTAATACTTAACTTAGTTCTTTTGTAACATACATAGTTGATCTGTTGGATGCTTTGTGTTATTGTTTATTGTTTCACTGAGATATTCACAAAAATTAGATTTAATGGATGTTAATAAAAATACAATGAAGATTTATCCGAAATAAATTTTGGGACCTAAAATAGTTAACAATTAACTTAAGTAGTTGTGAATGCTATAATTACAATAATATTAATTAATTAAGCGTCATTATATTTTTTAGTGCGTTTGCAATTTAATATTATAAAATGAGAAACAAAAATATAGTATTATAATATAATTGAAATGTCATCAACATAGGAGATAGTAAAATGTTCATTCAACCCTGACGATATGGGATAATTATTATATAAAGAGATTTATCATAAGTATATATTGATTAAAGAGAGATTAGATGGATAAAAGTATAAGAATTGATTGCAAAGGATCCAATATTGCAAAATAATGTTGGAGATTATGGTTAGAGTAGAGATAAATTATATGAGATTTATTGTAAGAAGGCCTATAAATTACATAAGTTATTAAATTATAGTGATGAAATGATTCCTGGTATGGTGAACAGTCAATTTCCAGAAACAGTAGTGACTGTATTGCATTAAACAATGTTTATTCCAACTATAAAGTATTTGGGAACCGAAAAATAAATTGAGAAATGGCTACCTCCATCATTAAATTATGAAATTGTAGGATGTTATGCTTAGACTGAATTAGGACACGGATCAGATGTATAAAATTTAGAAACTACTGCTGTCTATGATAAAAATACAGAAGAGTTTATTTTAAATTCTCCAACAATATCATCAACAAAATGGTGGATTGGAGATTTAGGATTGACAGCAACTCATGCTGTAACACATGCTTAATTATTTATTAATGGGAAACATTATGGAGTACAAACTTTTATTGTTTAAGTAAGAGATACTCATACTCATTTACCATTAAAAGGAATTGAAGTTGGAGATGTTGGACCTAAATATGGTTATAATACTAAAGATAATGGATATTTAAGAATGAATAATGTTAGAATTCCTAGAGAATAAATGCTTATGAGATATTCTAAAGTAAGTAAAGCTGGAGAATTTATAAAAGCTCAAAATGAGAAAATTGGATATGCCACTATGATGTAAGTTAGAACTTCAATCATTTTTAATACTTATATCTCATTAGCATAAGGTTTAGCTATAGGAGTTAGATATTCTCATTTTAGAAGATAATTTAAAGATAAAAATGGTATTGAAAGACCTATTATTGATTATTAAACTTAATAAGATAAATTAATACCTTTAGTTGCTGATTGTTATGCTTAAGGTTTTGGATGTTAAAGAATTAAAGAGATTTTAACAGAAAATCTTAAAAGAATTAATGAAAAGAATGATTTTTCTCTTATGGGAGATTTACATGCATTATTATGTTGTTGTAAGGCTGTTTATACATGGAATACACATTTTGGTTTAGATAAAATTAGATAATCTTTGGGAGGACACGGATTCTTATAATCATCAGGTGTTTGTACTATTTAAACAGAATTTTCACCAAGTTGTACCTATGAAGGAGAAAATACAGTCTTATTGCTTTAAACTGGAAGATATCTCTTAAAAGCTTGTAATAAAGCATAAAAAAATTAACCTATTAATGAAAATGTTGAATACCTTCATAATTTACAATCAACTTTATCTTAGAAAGCTACTTTCACAAGATAAGAGTAGCTTTTATGTCCTGAAATTATTAGAAAACTTATGAGATTACATGCAGCATTCTATGTCAACAAAATGATGCTTAAAATGATGGAAAAAGGTAATATTTTAACATTATCAAAAATTAGCTGGTGAGTTTGGACCTAAGGAAGCATGGAATAAACATGTCGGTGTTTCTATAACAGAAGCTTCTATTGCTCATACATATTATTGGACATTTAAAACCTTCTTAGATACATTAATTAAGTAATTATTGTAAATAATTTATAGAATATAAGATGAAAATATTAGATCTGTATTATCTAATTTATGTTGCTTATATGGATTATAAAGAATTATTGATTGGCCAATAGGGTATTTTGAGGGCAGATTTTTAACAGGAGAATAATTAGAAATTATTTTAAATGCAAAAGAATATATTTTCACTTTGATTAAACCAGATTTACTAGGATTAGTTGATGTAAATTGAATAATTATCATATAGGCTTTTAAATTTAATGAAAATGCTTTAAGATCAGATTTAGTTGATCCAAAACCTTATGAAAAATTATTATAAAGTGCTAAATTGAGTTCAGTAAATAATGAAGAGTACTAAAAGAAATTAAGATCATTGACAAGATAACTTAGAGAGATTCCAAAGCTATGAATTTATAAATAATAATTTAATAAATAAAAATAATGTAGTAAGTGACAACAGAATATGTTAGAAATTTAAATGGAATAACACAAGAGTATATGAGTATGTAAATGATAGTTTCTTGTGTCCTGTGAATGCAAACATTTACAATATCCAATTCCTAAAATTTAGAATAAGAGATATGGATTCAGGTTAAACTCTATTTGAAGTTGAACGAGATTAAGATGAAGAATCTATAGGTACAATCATTCTTAAAATAATCTAGAAAATCTTCCACCAGAATATCAAGATGAAGCTAGAAGAATTAAATATCATTTTGGACCATAATTTTTTGAATTGAAAACAGTTGGAGCATAATTGACTTTCTCGGTTGGTAATAAGCCAGTTAAAAATTTTACAATAATTGAAAGACATTACTTCAGAGATCATCTCTTAAGAAGCTATGAATTTCAATTCCCATTTTGCATTCCAAATTCAACCAATACATGGGAACACATTTACACAATTCCAGAAATTGATGAAGCTATGGTATATAAATAAATTATTCTATTAAATAGAGATAAGAAATGATCAATAATCCATTTCAAACAAAATCTGACAGCTTTTATTTTGTAGGAGAACAGTTAGTTATGCATAATAAAGCAGAGTATGATTACTCTTCTTTTGATTGAAAAATTTGGAATATCTATTATAAATGAATATATATTTCATGTCATAACTTTGGTTAGAACATGTTCTGTTTGATAAGAATTTCAAATACTCTAATAATGATCCATGTATCACCAAATCATGATTCAAATGAAAACATATATTCCTCGAATCTATTTTTAGAAACTATGTCTAACAATTAATCTCCATTAAAACATTTGCATAATCTTTAATTTATTATAACTATAACAAAAAGCACAAATATCATATCTTTATTTTTTTATATATACTGCCACAACTCCAATACATATATTATAAAATTTACCAATATAGGGAACAATAGATTTTTGAATATCTTGTAGAGATAGTCAATATACTCAACAATATAATAAGATGAAATTTTTAGAGACATCTAACCATAACTACCTTCCACCTACCTCTAAAACCTCTGTTCTTTCATTCTATTACATACAAATTTGATGAATTCATTTTAAGTATTGTTAAGAATTCTCAATAGATTCTTAATCTATATCTGCATCTTTATTTTTAATTTTTGTAGAAAATAGCTTTAATTGAAAGATGAATAAACTTCATTCTTCAATTCTTAATTCTTCCTTTTAAGTTATCTTAATGATCTTATATTTACCATGATTGCTTTTTTCTCTTATGAGAAACAAATATAAATTTGAAATGCCAAACTTCTCAATTTCTTTTTCTGGTATTAGTAGATTATCAATTATTTTTTATTATCAAAAAAAGCATCATACTAAACAAAGATTATTTATTAAAATAATAGGAAAAGGTATAAATTCAAAATTGATCAATTTTTCCCTTGAATTTTTATTGCATATTATCAAATACAAAAAATAAAAATGAAAAGTTAGATCAAACTATCAAAATAGGCAAGTATAATTGAAATGCTTCAATTTCCTATTATATTTTTAGAACATCAATATATAAAATCTGTTCCTATTTACATATTCATTGGAAAAATGTATCCTTTTTCTAAATTTTTTTCTTATTTTTTTTTTTCTGTATTCTTTTACTTTGGTTTCTATATTAAAACCTGTTAAAATTGAATAGCTTCCTTTATAAATCTATCAAATTTTTTGCTAATTCAATAATTGAAATTCATTTCTTTATTTTGGTAGAATAACTATTCTAACTTTTTGTGAGTTTTTTGTTTATTAGAAGATTAAGTTTAATTTAATTAATGGTGGTTTTTATGATATTTACATAGATGTAATAAAATTTATAGAATAATCTTACTTAATGTTTTTTTTAACCTTTTCTATTTAACCCAGGTATGACAGAATATTAAAATTCAGAATTTAATGATTTTTTTCATCAAAAAATTTAGATACAATTAATAGAATATATATTTAAAAAAAATAAAAAATAATAATTTTTTAGAAACAATTTAACATATTTTAAAACATAATACTAATATCTTATCATCTTAAATTGTTATGCTAAATTAATAATAAAAAATAAGAAGAACCATTGAAAATAATCAGAATTTTATATAGTAAAACTAAAGTCAAAAATTACAAATTAAAACTNGATGAAATTTTTAGAGACATCTAACCATAACTACCTTCCACCTACCTCTAAAACCTCTGTTCTTTCATTCTATTACATACAAATTTGATGAATTCATTTTAAGTATTGTTAAGAATTCTCAATAGATTCTTAATCTATATCTGCATCTTTATTTTTAATTTTTGTAGAAAATAGCTTTAATTGAAAGATGAATAAACTTCATTCTTCAATTCTTAATTCTTCCTTTTAAGTTATCTTAATGATCTTATATTTACCATGATTGCTTTTTTCTCTTATGAGAAACAAATATAAATTTGAAATGCCAAACTTCTCAATTTCTTTTTCTGGTATTAGTAGATTATCAATTATTTTTTATTATCAAAAAAAGCATCATACTAAACAAAGATTATTTATTAAAATAATAGGAAAAGGTATAAATTCAAAATTGATCAATTTTTCCCTTGAATTTTTATTGCATATTATCAAATACAAAAAATAAAAATGAAAAGTTAGATCAAACTATCAAAATAGGCAAGTATAATTGAAATGCTTCAATTTCCTATTATATTTTTAGAACATCAATATATAAAATCTGTTCCTATTTACATATTCATTGGAAAAATGTATCCTTTTTCTAAATTTTTTTCTTATTTTTTTTTTTCTGTATTCTTTTACTTTGGTTTCTATATTAAAACCTGTTAAAATTGAATAGCTTCCTTTATAAATCTATCAAATTTTTTGCTAATTCAATAATTGAAATTCATTTCTTTATTTTGGTAGAATAACTATTCTAACTTTTTGTGAGTTTTTTGTTTATTAGAAGATTAAGTTTAATTTAATTAATGGTGGTTTTTATGATATTTACATAGATGTAATAAAATTTATAGAATAATCTTACTTAATGTTTTTTTTAACCTTTTCTATTTAACCCAGGTATGACAGAATATTAAAATTCAGAATTTAATGATTTTTTTCATCAAAAAATTTAGATACAATTAATAGAATATATATTTAAAAAAAATAAAAAATAATAATTTTTTAGAAACAATTTAACATATTTTAAAACATAATACTAATATCTTATCATCTTAAATTGTTATGCTAAATTAATAATAAAAAATAAGAAGAACCATTGAAAATAATCAGAATTTTATATAGTAAAACTAAAGTCAAAAATTACAAATTAAAACTCTATAAGACAATTATTTTAAAATTTGTTTAAGTACTAAACTAGAATAATTGAAACTAGAATCACTAATCACTTTTACATTAGAAAATTTTGCTCTTTATTGCAAATAGATTAGAAGAAAGCTAACAATGCAAAAAATTTAAGTAGCTTCTGCATTTAAACTTGATATAAAGAATGATTCAATTACACTATAAACTATGGAACATCCAATTATAGCATCCCCTCATTAGAATTTAATTTTAAATCCTTAGTTTATAAATCAAATGTATTTATTTGAAAATTTAACATATGAATCGGATACTTATTTAGATAGTTTATTTTTTGATGAATTATTACTAACATTATTATTTTGGTAAATACTTGTAAATTTAAGAAAATTATCTGATTTAGATTTTTATGACATTTATATTTATCCTAATCGATGTAATTTTTACATTATCAAGAATGATATTACACCTTTTTTCTAAACTGAATAATTGAAAATGATGAACATTTTATTAAATTCCTAAACTATCTAATTAAAAAAAGATGATTTGGAAATTAATTAAGAATATTAGATTTAATTATTTGATATTCATCCTCCCGATAAGATTGTAAGTAGAGGAACCATAATTCCTATAATAAATATAAATTAATAAGAATAATAAAGTATTGAATAAGATTAGGAAATCCTCAAATATTTAAATTTTGATTAGATTACTATAACATCGAAACCATATTATTTAATATTCAGTACTTTATGTGAGCAAGACTAGAAAGATGAATTTAAGCACATAATTGATTTTAGTAATTCAGAATATCCAAAATGTAAAAAATGTAATCTGATTATATATCCTGATGATTTTGATACATTGTATACGAAAAAAGGTTTATTAGATATTTGGGAGAAAGGTTAAATTTGTCTAAAATAGCAAGCATAATTTGTGAGTCCATTGTTTTTTCTACTGGGAAAATAAAATTTTAAATTAAAAATGGACAAAGATAAAGAAAATTTGTTTGCATAGTTTTATTATAAAAATGAAGAAGGTAGGGAAAAAATAAATGAAAAAGCGTAATCAGATTTGAATTAGTATGAAAATACAAAAGATAAAAAAGAATTGTAATTGTTATTTAAAAAACTTATAGCAAAGCAGCCATAATTAAATTCAAATCTAGAATAAAAGTTACATTATTAAGTAACTGAAAGTTTAGAAGGAGATGATGAAGATTATAATAATGATGAAGGATTTAGGAATACATAGAATAAATAAAGTTTTATTTATTAAACCAAATTTAATTGATCTTTTTTATAATGAGAATATAGTAATATTTTAGAATGAATTAAAATAAATTCTTATATGAATAATTGCATCAATCAATGTCTGTTAAGGGATGTTTATGAAGCTAATGATCTAACTTAATCTTTGAATAGTTGGATAACGACATCTATAATAGCATTTTCCTCTAGAAATATAAAACAGAAATAATACCTTATCTTCTGGCAGTTTCGGAAGCATAGAATTCTCTCTTTTCTTCTAAATCTTAAGTTGCTCCAGCGACGGCATTCAATGAATCTTTCCATAATTTAAGAGCTTTAGCTTATTAAGCCAAAACAGCTGGAAGTTACTTAAATTATAAAATAAATTGATACTGTTTCTAATTTTTCAACAAGTCCTGTTCTTCTTTCATGTTCAGAGTTCAACCAAGCAACTTCAGCATTTGTATCTGAAACGTATTTGGCAAGAGCAAAAGCAGCATGAATTTCTTATTCTTAAAGTGTGGCAAGTGTTGATTCTAATTCTACTTATAAATCTTATAAGATAGAAAGGACTTATTCTCCTGTAGTTCCTTCTCTCTTAACTTCAGCAAGGGATTAGAATTTTTAGAGGGCATCTTATTAGAAAAGATGACTGTATGCAGACAATTTGTCAGCTATTGTTTAGGCTTTTTCAACAAGTTCGACTCCAGCATTATTTGTGAGGTATCCAGCAACATCTTATTGTAAAAGTTAAACAATTGCTACGGCATCAGCATGATCAGCAAGGGATCTGACAAAAAGTCCATTGGCCCAACATCTTTAATCTTAGAGTTATGCATTTCTTCTTTCAATTTCAGCAAGTCTAGATTCAGCCCAAGCCAACCATTAATATCCATCCTTTACAAATTATTTAATAATTATACTCTGATTTAGGCTTCAACATCACCTCTTACTGCACCAAGAGCTTCCCATTATTATTTGTTAAGGGTGGCAACATTTGTCAAATCACTAATAACTTAAGAAAAGATTTCTAAGAAGATTTTATGTTATTTCATTACCTTCATCTGTGTTATTCTTTTTGTCTGCAGCAGCTTAGACTTAAACATTCTCTGTCTTTAAATCTCTCAAAAGATTGTAAACAGATTCAACTGCATCATTTCCTCTGGTACCTGTTTGAAGAAGTACAGCGAATTTATTTGTGTCTGTAGCTAATACAGCTGCCAATAAGCAAATTGCGATGATTACTCTCATTATTTAATTTAATTATCTAAAAAACGGGTTTCATAATTTTGTTTATATTTCTTCATTTTATACTCAAAATTCATATTTTTTAATACACTCTTTCAAAATTACTCTAAATCCTTACATTTATTATCAATCCACTCATTCTATATAATTATATTGAAACATCAATTTTACATGTTGAATTTGTAATATTATTATTTATTTATCTGTATTCAAAATTATTTCTTGTACTTTTATATTTTCATATAATTCTAAATCTCTCCTTCAAAATAATTTTCATAATTCATTTTGATACATTTTAAATAAAGTACTTTTTATTTAACATATAATTTTTATATTATCTCTGCTTTCTATTTTTATAATAAATTTCATTTACAAAAATTTAATTAGTTTTAACATCAGATCATATCATATGTATAAAGAATGAAAAAATATCAGATATTTTTAAATTACATTATGAAATTTCTAATGAAATAAAATAGTTATTAAAATGGTATAATAATATTGAAGATTCTAAATATCATTTTGGTTTTATTTTATAAATTCTTTTTTGAGTGTTAGTATTTTCAAATTCCCTAAATTTGATTAATTTATGAAGTTTTCATAAGGTTTAGTTCGAAAATTTAGTTTTTTTCAATATAATGAAGTAATTAAATAATCATAAATTAAGTGATTAAAAAATAATATAAAATGTATCGACTTCTATATAAAATTGTATAAATAATTAAGTCAAGTTAAAGTAATTCAATGATTAGTATGGATAGTACTAAGTTTGATATTCAAATGACTAAAAACGAATGATAGGAAATTGTAAGTCAAAGAACATAATGTAATTTCAATAGATATAATTTAAATAAATAATAATATGAAATAAGAGGACCTAAACTATTTGACTTATGGATCTATTATTTCAATATCACATGTATAGGATGACCATTCTTTCATAACAGCAGATGGTTTTGTCAAGCGAGCTGTATTTTTAAAGAATTTTGTACTAATATAACATAAATATAAACAAGCATCATGTTGATGTAGTAGATACAAAATAATTAGGGAAAATGAAAAGCAGGCCATATTATAATACATTATTTTAGATATTTCCAAAATTTACAAACAATACAAAGTAAGAGATTTTAAAGGAGCTAATTGGTGAAGAATAAGAAGAAGAGAGCTTACCAGCTATATAAAATATTTTAGAAAGCATTCAAAAATAGTTGAAAGTAGATGAAAAAACAATGATATCAAAAGAGCAAGTATAAAGTTTCTCTCAGAAATTATTATAAGAGTTTAAGTATAATCTTGATACATTTGAAAAAGTAAATATTATTTATAATGAACTTAGTCAAAAGCACATAAAGTTTCATATAAATCTCAAATTTAATTATTGCATTTAGCATCATCAAAGTTTTTAGCTTGTCATTAGAAAGAAGCTAGAGTGGAAAGTTCAAATTATAGAATTACTTTAGATGAATTACCAAGTGATTCATCATTATTTAAGATTTTACCAGCATATAAATATTAGAAAGAAGGAGAATAAGTAATTTATGCAAGTGATATTGTATATATTGTAAGAGCAATTTCATTTATGAATAAATTAACTTATTTACATGCATCCCAAGAGATGGGAAACTATGGTAAGAGTTAAAAAAAGAGAAAGAGTGATGAAGATTTATTAATGTATAAAAATGATAAGGATATTATAAAAAGAGAAGTGAATGCTGCATTAGATGAAGAGAATTAAACTTAATGGAGAATTTCAGTATATTCAGATTATGTTCCTGAAACATCAGGATTTTTAAAATGTGGTGATGTAATCTGGTTGCATCATTCTGAAACTAATACAACTGTTGCAGCTACTAGAAAAGGTAAATCTGTTGATTAAAAGAATTTTTAATCATTTAATTTAGTTGAATGGTTAAAAGTTGAAAATGTAGAGTTGAATGTATTGAATGGTTCAACTAAAGAAAGTTATGATGAATATACAGGAGATACTCATTCTATGTGGATTATTGAATCTGAAATTTATAAAGAAGGAGGAATTGTTTTATTTGATAAAAAATATAGATTTAAACATTTTACATCTGGATTATATTTATCAGGAACCAAAGATAAATTTTCATTAGAAAAATAAAGAATTCCTTAAACATTATTTTATTTTAGTTAATTAAGAAATTCTAAAGTTAAAGAAAAATTTGTTAAGAGAGGGAATTATGTTTATATTTGTCACGATAAATAGGTTCCAAATGGTATTAATAATAATAATGAAGAAAATAGTTTTTGGGTTGATATTCAATATGGAAAAAACTAAAGATTATTTCCAATTCTTCATTAAGAATAACATAAAACTGATCAAAGTGTTTTTAAACTCTATGCAAGTAGTAGTAATGATGTATGGGAAATTTCATTCGTATTGAGTTGTGCTAAAACACTTACAAATTATCTTGATGATTTATAAAAATTAAAATGGGAAAATGATGTTTCAGATAAAGAAGTTCTCAAAGATCATTTATTAAAAATTTAAACAACAAAATAATGCATAGAAGATATCAATAATTTTTGTAATAATAGATTAATTAATTCAACTCCTGAATAAAAATATGGAACTATCAACCCATTTAGATAAAAATTATTAAAAGAATAATACTATATTGATTTATTAGTAAAAATTCTAGTTTAATAATTAAAACCTGAAGATTTAATTATTTGGAGTAGAAGATTTATGATTATTTAGATGCAAGATATATAATAACAATAAGAAAAAATGAGTAATACAGAATAAACTAGTAAAAAATAAGGATTAAAAGATCACGAAATGTTAGCTTATATTGCATATAAAATAAATATGAACCAATCAATTTATACACTTTTGACTTCGATTTGTAAGTAAAATCCAGAAAATGAGAAATATACTTTTGATTTAATTGGACATTTCTTAGAACACTGTAGATATATACCTGAAGCTATAAAATGTATGATTTCAATAATAGGAAACAATTAAGAATTATTAAGTTTATTGTCAGCAAATACGAAAATAGATTAAAATTCAAAAGAATAAGAATATTTTGAACCAGACGAAGAAAAATTGTAATTGCGGCATAATAAAATATCAAACAATTTTTTAATTTTTTTTTTAAATTTATTAGAAACAGATGAATAAGCTCATAAAGCTGATTTTTTAACATTCTTAAGAGAAATGTGTATTTACAATAATTAAGGAATAAATTAAAATTAAGAAGCTATATATAAATTATTGAAGAAGCATAATCATAAAAAGATTTAATTAATTAAGGATAAAGAGGATCCAGATAAAATATCATTAAAAGATGGAAAACTTTTGATTCCATTTAAATTATAAAATGATCCAAAAGAAATGTATTTTATAAATGAGTAATTGTAATTTTATGCTGATGTATCATATGGAAGAAATTATCTTTGGAAATAAGAATTAGAATAATTTTTTAGTAAAGATTTTTTATTTCAAAATATCTGGTAAGATGATGGTAATAAAACATATGCAGTACTATAAGCAGCTTTATGTAAGATTGCAATGAGTCTATATATTGATCATGATCCGCTTAATAGAGTATAATTACCTAAGTATTGTAATCTTTACAAAAGCATTGATAAGGCAACTGAAGCTAATCAAGTGAATGTTTATACATCTTTAATTGAAGATTTATTCAAATACTTATAGGAAAATAAATAATAGATAATTTAAGCACTTGATACAAAAGATAGTGGAGATGACAATAAAGATTATGATGCAATAGATGGAAATGATGAATAGAGTTTATTGAT